AAATTGATACTAAGTGTCAGCAGGAGGATGTCCAATGATAATCATACATGTTTGCAAAGTTACCAGGCACAATATAACACATTCTCTGCATAGACCAATGAAAGCTAAAAATGCATATATTGTTTATCTTTAGTGTGTCTTTTCATCATAGTATCTGTGTTTTCAATTAGTTTTATATTATAGCTAAATGTAATAAAAACACAAAACTAACTTCTTGTAAAAGAATAAAAATATAACAGAAGCCAGCACAGTGATGTTGAAGCTATAAGTGTAGCTCCCCATATATCAGACCAGAATGTCACAATTGTGCTGTCTTGGTAGTAAGAGGTTCTTGTAAACGACAGCAACACAACAGAGTTACATTACCTAAAAAAAGAAAAAAATCACATACTAATTGAACAGTCATGCTTATGAGAAGAAAGCAAATGTATGTTGGTTATCAGAAGGTGGCATATAGACACATACAATATTTGATAGAAAACCTACTAATTATATGATAAAAGGCAAAATATATAAAAATTACATGATATACAGATGGAGAGATTATACATATTCTCATGATTGAGTAGATACTTTATGCTAGTGTTTTTGTTTTTTTTTCCACATTTTCCTTTACAGCATTTGTGTGTGTAAGCTAAAAAGGTTTTACATTAATTTGCAGGCAAGAGTTATGTTGTGTTACAAATACAAATTTCACAAATGTGTAAACCGCTGTAAATCCATTGATAGTGTAATCAAAGTTCATGTTAAAGCGATCTAAAATTATATTAAAGGATGGTGCCAAGGGACCATTCGACCATCAAAGCTACAATGTCAATATGGAGGACGCTGGCCCAGAGGGGGAACCTGGCCCCTGTCCCCCTTGCACCCTATCGCAGGAAACCCACTATTTCAGCCGGTATTTTCACACCGCAGTTCCTGACCAACCTGGGCCTGCCGAGGCAGTGAAGACTAAAACACATAAGCACAAAGGGGGGACCGACGCCCCTTGTGGGCCTACCAGCCCCGGACCCCTCGAGTATCCTGACCCAGTTCAGATACCATTAACTGGTGAGATATGTCAAATCCATCCCAAACCTAAAATCGGCAAACAGGCAACTGACGGCTTACGAAACATTGTGCAACCAAGATGCCCTCCCGGCACACTGCATCTCAATACTATATCAAATGATTCTCCCAGCCTGAAACGGTAACCAACTATCATACTACACTAGATATTGGGAGAGAGACCTGGGATTCTCCCTGACGGAAGACCAATGGCTAAACGTATTCGTGAACATACATAAATCTTCGATCAGCACAAAATACCAGGCATCAGGATACAAATTGATAACCCATTGGTACAGGACCCCCGAGCAGCTCTCCGCCGCAGGCTGCCAGTGCGACCCAGACTGCTGGGGATGTGGGAGGGAGCTCAGCACGCAATTCCACATATAGTGGAAATGCCACAACATCAAGCCCTTCTGGGAACAGATCCATGGAGCTATCAAGATAACAGACGCTAACATCGAATTCACCCCTGAAGCATATCTCCTACATGTCACGTCAATGCCACCCATGCGATATAAAAAAATGGTGTTACCACAGCTGATTAACGCAGCGCGCAGCCTCATACCCAACCACTGGAAAAAGAAGGCAATCCCCTCCATTAGAGATTGGATTCGAAGGGTGGAAGACATACGGGAGATTGAGGAACTTATCCTCATGGAGGCGGACAAGGCCCAACGATACCATCAGATCTGGTACCACTGGATGAGGTGGCTGGCAGAGGCGGATGGGGCTGGGGCCCCCGGGGCGGCACAGGCCGAGCGCTCGCTCAACTCCCCTACCTCTTCCCGGTGTTTCCTCCCACCCTCCCCCTCCCTGTCCCTTCCTGGGGGAATCGGCCGGCCAGACAAGGGGATGGAATAGGTGATGCCCCGACATAGTAGGACCCCCTTATGAGAGACTAATCCGGGGACGACGTACAAATCCACAAACTAAAAGGCTGTAGACAGTAGCTAACCCCCGACAAAATAACGACCCGCATCTCACACCCACTGACTGGACTAAAGGGGGGATAGTAGGAGGGGACAGGCGACATATCCTCCCAGGGTAACAAACAAATAAAATCAGGCTGGGAAAACCAGCATACCACGGCCCAGAAGCACCCGAACCATATTACCCTTGACAAGGCAAACGCGAAAAGAAGGGCCCTACCCATCCCCATCTAGAGAAGAGCCACAGAGAAGGCGACCGGTACTCATAACGACACACCCAGGTGAAGAACCAGTTACAAATTAGAGTTCGGTTTCTGTTACAGTTCACACCGATGTTCACGAATAAAGAGACAAGGTAAATTTCCACACGAAAGCCAGCACTACACAAATACATGTATCAATAATGGCTAAGCCCGAAGCTACCCTATGTAAAGCAACGAGAGGGAAAATACAACCCACCCTATCAATGCAAAAGAAATGTTGTATTTGAAACGTGTAACAAGCTGTGAGATATACGATTTGTTCAGCCGACCTATGTATAACACTACATGCATGTAACAATAAACTGCTTTAATAACTAAAATTATATTAAAGGGACACTATAGTCACCCAGACCACTTCAACTCAAAGAAGTGGTCTGGGTGTCAGGTCCCTCTAGGGTTAACCCTGCCTGATGTAAACATTACAGTTTCTGAGAAACTGCTATGTTTACATCTGGGGTTAAGCCAGCCTCTAGTTGCTGTCTTCCGCACAGCCACTAGAGGCGCATCGGCAATGATTGAGGCATATTATGCCTCAATCACGCAGAGCGTCCATAGGAAAGCATTGAAAAATGCTTTCCTACGGACACTTTGAATGCACGCGCGGCATTCGGCACTGGTGACGTCAGACAAGGATGCTGACGTCGGCGGGGGAGGATAGGTAAGGGAGCCCGGCGGGGGAAAAGGGTTCCGCCGCGGGAGGGGCACCCAAGTGATTTTCTTGACACTATAGTGTCCCTTTAAATATATATACATATATACATACATACTATATATTTATATATATTTGAATAAATATGTAAAATATGTATTTTTATGTACATTTTATGTATCCACCTCACTGTTCAGCATCAGTTACATAGAGTATGTTTACATGTCCCTATCATGACACATGAAAACGTAAATGCCAGCTTTCCCAGGGCTCTCCAAGAAAGGTTGTCTGGAGTTCCCTTCAGCAGATAGTGTTGGCAACTTGAAAAATCAGCTTCTAGTCACTTCATTGTGATAAGAAACCCTAAAATAGCAATACAATGGCACATAATACCTTGTTTGAACAAGAACTGATGTGAATAAGCCATTAACAACTGTACAGAAGGTGATAACACAGAGAACACAAAAAAAAGTCGCAGGGCTGCAAATGAGCCCAACAGGTTTACTATACAACTGAGCACATCAGAAATATATGGAATAGATTTACTACGCTTGATGCTATATGGCATTAAAAAACACACACTAAAACATCACATGGAAAGTAACACACTGCTACAAAAATACATTTTTAAGGCTATGTTTTTTGTTTCGAAAGGACAAATCTTGGTATGAAGTAGCAAAATTTCAAAACAAGAACCGAATCATAATAATGAATTAAAAGGACATCCATTTATGATCAATAATTGTGTGTGTTGCATTTAAGTTGAAGGAACTTAATTGTCCCTGTCTCCTTTCAATATGTATCTGATAGCATTTTGCAAGACACATGCTGCAGTTATAAGTCCCTCTATACCCCCACTTTGATGACATCAGAGGGCTAAATATGTTATAGCCTGGATTTACATTTTTCTAAGGTGTTCAAAATAACTTACAGTCTCTCTTAATTTTATCCATCAGCCTATACAGTCACTGCAAACAGCTTAGTTCATGAAAGAAGTAACAAATAAATAAATTAAATAAAAAAACGCCATTTATGACTCTATAAAAAGCAAGGTAATAATTAGCTTGCAAAGTAGTTCTGTTCATGAATTACATGTACCAAATTTGTAGGACATATACAGATCTCCTGATGAATATTAAAGGGCCAGGATTGCACATTGGTAGCGAATGAGGGATAATTATATGTCAACTTTTTTTGCATCTATTTATGTATCATTTACAAAAAAGGTCCCTTCAAAGTATTTTCCTTATTGTTATAGAATTTATTTTTTTCACTTTAATTTAATTTCCTTAACTTTGAACAATAACTGTACAACACATACTTTTTTCCCTCTAATGACAATTTGGCATAATCTTTAGAACTCATGATTGCAATTTTCTTTTTAATTTAATTTGGATATCATATTTAATACTAATGGTGTAGTGCTTTCTGTGACCAATATAAAAAATGTATTTGGTTAGACAAGAGATGTACAAGAACTGATAAAATATATACCTTCTAAAATCAATAATAATGTTTGTCTGACAGCACCAAAGGCATATGGGGGAAAATAAAAAATAGAAGGACAAACATAAGACTTGTTTTGCTAAAATATCATGGTGTAGAGCAGAATGTGTGGCTCCCTAGTGTTGGAGGGTTTGTCTGAAACAGCAGTCAGCAATCTACGTTTTGCAGTTTCTAGATGTTAAAAGGCAAGGTTTATTTTATTTTTATTTTTTTTATTGATTTTACTATTTTTTTTTAAAGCATTCCCCAAATAATTTACCATATTAAAAAAATATATAAAAACGGTTTTGTTTTAAAAAATTTATCTGATATACCAGTGCATATCTACCATGACTTGTTAAAGCTCCTACTATTATAATATGTGATTTATCCCTGCCAAGCACTAAAATGCCTGCTTTCAATCTTCATATCCCCTCCCAAACTATGCCCAGAACTGTATGTAGGACAGAGCAGTACAGAGAGGAGTCTCACTGTGTGAAGTTGCAACTTCAGGACTATAAATGTACAGCTGGGCAGCCTGGGAGTGGCTTCTCTCACTGTCCCTATAGCAGGAAAGGGGAAGGGTCTGGGCAGGCAACAGCACATGTCATTGATGAAATGTAACAGCTTTAAATCTCGCACCAAAAGCAAAGCACTATTACATGAAAGGCAGCTCCTGCTTGTTTTACATTGGGGGAAACCTAGCCTAGTGACTGTCAGAGATTCCTGTTCTCCTGTCTAACACAAGCCTGTAAAGATGAAGTTATCTGCCTCCCTGCTGCTGGTACTACTGCTAAGGTGCTGTGATATGAGTCTGAGCACCTTCAAGAAAGCTGTGGAGAGCCCAGGGAAAAAGCAGTACCAGGTCCAGCATGGAGCTTGCAGTTATACCTTTCTGCTCCCTGAGGTGGACAGCTGCCGCCCTGCCCCTGCCACCCCTCAGGTGTCTAACTCTGTGCAGAGAGATGCCCCCCTGGACTATGATGACTCCATACAAAGGCTACAGGTTCTGGAGAACATTATGGAGAACAACACACAGTGGCTTCTCAAGGTAAGGATGGCGTGCAGTGCCATGGCATACTCAGATCAGATCACCTCTGGATGCTATTGGGTTGCTGTAAGGGGCATCCTGTCACCTATGCTATTATTGCTGTTTGTATGGAGAGTATGTAGGGGTGACATGAGTTATGCGATGATTCGAAAATGCCATTGAGACCGATACCTCAAATTACAATGTGTTTAAACGCATTTTGATCTTTTCTTTTCAAGAGTGCCACATTCATCATATTAGTTGTCTGTGCTGGGAAACCATCGGATTTCAGTGATACAAACCAGCGTGAAACTGGTACAATTTAGGGTTTATTTACTGAACAGTGAACTGAAAACGTGTTTTTTCTAAAATAGTCATGCGCTGCTTATAGCAGAATGAAAGATTGACTTTTTTTTCCGCGCAGATCACTATCGTGACTACATTTTTTCAAGTAGGTTTTCAGACTCTCTTTAGTGAATAACTTCCTTTTTACTAACTGATTATATTTAAAAAATCGAGTTAATATTATTCTATTTTATTTTCTAGAGTAAAATTGTATCAACATGTGGTGAAATCTAGTAAAACATAAAAATATATTACTATGTTTAATGACAGTGTAGATAGAAATATATTAAATGTAATGTGGCAGCTAACTGTTAAATAAGGAGATATTTATATATATATATATTATTTTTTGCGGTGGGGGGGTGGGGCGTTTAAAGAGCAACAAAGTATCACGTTAAAATAGTGTGTTGTAACTATTAGTACTTCCTTATAGACCCAGATATAAAAGGAGTATTGGAAGTAAAGAATGGAATGGGACATATTGCATTAGAGCTTCAGTAACCTTGAGGTATGGTAGTTGGGGTAAACAATTGTAACTTTGCACAAACTAAACTGCTAAAGATTTCCTACCACTTTATCTCTGTCTATACATAACTAAATATATGCAGGAGTTTTTATAAAGTGAGAATTCTAAGTGAATTTCAAATTTTAGGCCACGGTATCAGAACTGAATGCATAACTTGCTAACTTGGAGATTTTTTTCCAGTTCATCTATTTCAACCTTAAATTTGAGATTCACTTCAAATTCTCACTTTAGTAAATAGTATCAAACCTGTGTTCATTTTGCTTTAATGAAATGGTGATCCATAGGCAGATTGTTTACATGTGGGCACCCTACATCAGTGGTGTTGGCTTATAGGTGGCCCAGTGGCTTGTACTGGTGTCCAATCTCTATTCATGTACATTTCTGTTTTGCTATTGTGCTTCCATTTCTCCCCCAGCCCCATTTGATATGGCTGCAGGAGTTCTCTTTGATTACTGGACAGATGCCCACAGCGCCATTGGAAAAGGCAGCCCTGACTGTATGCAACAATTTATAAAGTCAAAACAAACAGTGCTTATATCAAACCAGACACTGCAAGAACTTTTGCAAAGAAGCACTGCGGGATGGTGCTCGTTAATTTGGGAGAAATTCAATTCTAGAGGTTTTTGTTTGTACCAAATATGCCAGAAAACTAGCCAAGCACAATGTGACCTGTCACTAGAGATTTATACATGGCACACAGCATGGAATGCTCATTCTGTGATCCGCACATAGGGTTACCCTTATTGCAATCTGTCATGCAGAAAAAAAAAAAAAAAAGCCGGTTTGGAGTCTTTGAGAAATCACTGTTTTTGTTCTGCAGCTCAGATCTGCAAAGCAAGAAAACTACAGTATGTACAGTGCTTGTAGTACATGATAAATCATTTTTACGACCGTCACATGAGGGTCATGTACATGGAGGTTTGAGGCAGGGTTCACTGAAGGCCCACAGATAAAATATTCTCATGGTGAGAACATTGGGAAGTAGAAAGTCTATGACACAGATCTAGATTGCTCCCCAGCACAGCGCTGCAAAGTGTAATTGATTTTGACAACATAAAGTGCAATGCATGCTAGTGATTTTTGACATTATTTTCAGGAAAGTCTGATGCAGGAAGTGTTCTGATCTATAGTTTACTTTATTCAGATATCCCTGTCAGCACAGGTGGATCATTCAAAGATTAAACATTTCTTCAAGATATGCCAGTATAATTAAATACAAATGTCTCATTGGAGAAGTACCCGGAACATATCTTTTTTACTTAAAATGGCCCCCTCCTTTCTCCCACCAAAAAATAGAAATTAAAAAAAAAAATGCACTGACATTTTTTTTTTGCTAGTGATGGTGCAAAATAGGTGTACATTTTGTCCCAATGGACATCCTGTATTGGCTAAATACTGCAAAAAATAAATTATGTTAGGTTGAATACATTTTAAAAATGTTAAATTTCTCGTTTGTGATTTGCTTCAAAACATCCTTGAATTTTACCTGACTAAAAACATGTTTCTATATATATTTCCTTTTCATTTTCATAAACAAGACACATACATTTATGGACGGTCCCAGAGTAAGTAGATGCAAATTTAAATTGCCAAATTCAGGTCAAAATAATAAATGTTTGTGTAATTTAGTGTAGTGTATGGAGTTCTCTCAGAGTTCTCAGTATGTAGTTGGTTTTCTCCATTTGTCAATTCCATACTAAATAATTTCTCCACAGCAATATTTTACACTTCCACACATGGGCTCATCAATTATATAAAATGCGCCTTTAAGCACTTAAAATGATGCACTCTAATTCATGCTTGGTAATTGTTACATCTGTTTCCATTTTGTTTTACCAATTTGCTTTCAGTCTGCATTTTATGTGCACCATTATTTTTGTGGCAACCTCCAGCATTTTAGAATCTCCTCAAGTTACAGTTGTAACTACAGGTCAAGTGGAATTAAGATGAGAAGTTGAGTTAGTGGATCAATAACTACAGGGTTTTTGTTTTGTGTAGTTAATCCCATCTTGTTTCAAGTACGAGCTACCAGTGCAATTCTAGGCAGTCATCTATGTATATATCTGCCTTACATTAGGTAACTAGTGAAAGTGTTGGAATAACTAAAAGCAAATAAAAATATATATACATTTTTGTGAAATAAAAGTTACATTTCTGTACCCCTCCATCTGACCCCATCCCACCAGTTTAGTATCCCTCTAAATGACCCCAAACTTTTACATTTGACAATTAGCGAGAAAGAATCATCGTGATAAAGGTTAGTATCACAAAAATCACTGCTGGAAGTAGGTTTATCAGCTCCACCATGTTTCCCTGGAAAGTCATGTTTTACTGCCTGGAAATCAATTACTAAGTCAAGAGACTTCCTTTGAGATCCCATCTTGGTTGAGTGATTGATTCCCTGCTGTAGCTTATGAATAATACATACTATAGAACAGCATTTTTCATGTATATCTCAAAAACATGATTATGTTCCAACATTATGGGTGCAGGATTTCTATGCGTAAGCCCATCATAAACAGGAGATTTAAACTTCCCATAATTTGTCTCCTACAATCCATGGAAAAAAAATGGCAAAAGATAAGCAATCTTCAAAAGATCAAACAAGAAATCTATAACTCACTCAAGAAAAAGTAAAATTTTACACTGCTAATAAATTATTTTATGCAGTGTCAAACATCCTGCAAAATCAATGATAATTAAATACATAAAATAATATCTACCCTGTTTACCTGAAAATAAGACATCCCCCAAAAATAAGCCGTTGTCTATTTTTGGTGGATAGTCGTAATATAAGGCCATACTGTGAAAATAAGCCCTAGTCGCCAATAGCTAGTTCACTAGTCTATGTTCGGTGAAATCTCCCCGAACGTAGATTTGCGGGATTCCATTCGCAAGTAAGCAAATCTTTGTAGAGGAAGTTTCACTGAGCATAAATTTGCATGATTACATTCGCGAGTAAATGAATCTATGTTCGGAGACGTTTCCCCAAACATAGAATTGCGGAATTCCATTCGCTAGTAAGCTAATTTATGTGCGGGAAAAATTCCCCAAACATAGATTCGCGCTATTCCATGCACTATTGAACTGGTCTATGTTTGGGGGAATTCTCCCAAACCTAGACCTGCTTTCTAGCGCATGCTTGAAACCGTTTTCCCCTGAAATAAGACATCCCCTGAAAATAAGACCTAGTGTTTTTCAGGGGAAAAATTAATATAAGACCTGATCTTAATTTGGGGGAAACACAGGTAGTAACTTTGTCTGGAAGTCCAAAAATCATTAGGCATCGTGTCCCACTTTGCATCTTTTTAATCTGTTTCATATATATATATATATATATATATATATATATATATATATTTTTTTTTTTAATATAACTTTGTACTTTTTAGGTATACAATCACTAGCCAACACAAGGTTTTAAGTCCGTTTGTAGTGTAACAGATAATGTGCTGTTAACTGAAGGGGAATGTGTGAGATGGTGGGCAGGAGTATACTTTTTTTTTGTTTTTTAATAAACTGTAACCATTTTAATAACCTATCATTTTATTTACCCCTCATTAATGAACGGTTTTAACTCAAAGTCTTCAAAATGGTGTCCAATCGATCTGTCCCTCCACTTCCTATGCAAGTACAAGGCTTCAACAAGGAAACCTCGGACTGAGCACCACTCATAGGTTGATAGCGAATATACTCAGATTATTACTAGTTGCCCTTTGAGAAAAGTGATTAAAAAAGGTACATATCTTTTACTAGCTGACAGCCTATAAGCAGCACCCAGTCCAAGACTTCCTGTGATTAGGTTGTTATGGAGCACTCGATGTCCAAGTCGCACTGTTGCGCTGTGTGGATAGGTCTAGAGTACTACCAACAAACCAATTCTGTCACCTTGTGTCGTGAGGATTTAGGGAAGGTGCTCTTGTACAGTCTTGATTGGCTGTTCGGTATCCTGATGACCTGCCTCTTTTACAGGCAGGCAGAGTGTTTGTAACACTTATTACACCATGAACAAATCCATTTGTCTGCTCCACTCCACTCCCTCCCTCCCATCCAGATATCAGACCTGCCAAAGTCATCAGTGTGAGGAATCATGACTAGCACTATGAAGCAAGGTAGTATACTTTAATGTTATTCAACAGCGATCAACAAAAATGTTAATGTGGAGTATAATGACACTGGACCATATAGCAAGGAGACACATGGTATATCCTTTACCCTACTCACAATGCAGTTCTAAGAATTCAGAAAACACAAGCTAATATTTAGTGGATAGCTATAGTCATAGAGGCTTATCCTGGTGCTTTAGCTTAGATGAAAATCCAATAACCCATGCATCAAGGCTACTACACCCAAGGTCAATCCTCAATGCCATCCTTAACTCCTTGTAGTACTATATCACCTACCCCAAGTGCTGTCATTTTATCCCACTAACTACCTTCACCTGGTTTGTCTCTCTCGCTCTCTCCACCTCTTATAAAATCTAATCTGTCTCGGCATAAACCTAAACTCCCTTTTGGCTCTTTAGCTTTTGTCTTTTATTTATCACTCTAGTTTTGTGGCCTGAACGAATATGTAGAAGCTGTGCTGTAACGCTTTGATTAGCGGCTGACTAGATCAATACGATAAAGGCACTAGGCACTGCAACGTGAAGAGAAGCAGGACTACAGAACCCAACACAGAGGGCTTCATCCTTTAAATCCATCCCTAACAACACCGATGTCTATAGTCACTAGCCTGCTAAAAACCTTGTATCACTGTCATGCCTGCAATTTAATCTGTGTAAGCTGCCGCGACAAGAATAATTTAGGTAGTTTATAAATGTGTTCATTTTTGTAAAGACTTTTCCCTTTTAAAGTAATGTTTGTCTAACTAAATCCCCCCTTAGCGTTTCTTCTTCTACAAATCTTTTCTGTAAACTGCATTCATCACCCCATTCGATCCCATCATGCTTTGATTAATTTGTATTAAAGACCTCAAGTTCATGTCAACAGTTGTCAAAACAATTGGGCTCCATCTCAAATCAGGGGAGACCATGCTAAAAGAAATAAATAAATTATAAATAAATAATAATTGTTAAATTTCCCTCAGCATCTTTTTTTACTTGTGGCTGCATGTCACATTTTGAAACATGCTATATTCACTGTCTGCATTTAAACCTGTTTTGTGGCCTGTAAATGTCTATCAAGGATTCACTTGTGTAAGAATGTTAGCACCATAGAAAATGTATAAGCCATTTGCATCCTAGCATCAACATCCAAAGCCTCCTATCGGGTTTAAAGTTTGAACCAGTCACTGTGAGCAATGCATTACATTTTTACTATCTTGCTTAAACAATGCATCATATGGTCTTGGCTTGTGGCAGAGCTAAATGCAGGTGTGCTTTTGTGTGTAGTGTTGGTGTTTGCAAAGAATATTAGCGTTTTAATATAGGGGTGTGTTTGAATGTAATGTTTGCATTTGAGTGCATTGGTGTGTTTGAATGTAGTGTTGGCTTTTAAATTGTGTGTAGTATTGGTGTTTGAGTGAAAGTGTGTGTTTGGCGAAACTCCTGGCACTGGGCCCCCTAGCACTCTGGACCCAGCGTAGCCACACAGGCGGTAGTTTCACCACTGGTTTTGGCCAGTAGATCATCATAACTAGGAAAGGTCTGTCCCTTCGCATGCTTTTATCTGGGTGATGTATCCTCCATTTCCCCACTTGTTACACCTACGTGTTTTAGAGTGTTGCGAAAGGAGAGATTTAACAGTTTCCCTGCAGAGATACAGAAGGATAAAATTGAGCCATGACAGAGCAAATTGCAAATAAAAGATATCACATTGTTGAACAGTGCTAAATGAAAGGCATTGTAAGAAAAAAAAAAATCAATTTAGAGTGCAGTAAAGAGATAGATGTTTAATGTTACACCCAATGAAGATCCATAGGTTAACCTAGTAAACATTTCTGAGCAAATTAGTTATACCACTGACACATATTGATTTTCCAAAACAGTAAATTAAGTGCAGAAAAAAGATAAACTGATGAATATAGAGGCGATAAGAGGAGCAGTCTACACTGCTCAAAAATTTCCAGGAAAGATTCCTTTTCATGTGGGTTTGTTTCGATAAACAGAGAGCACTCCCATTAAATGTATCACGGCTTGTTAAATGCTCTCTAGTCAAACGCAATATATTGTGATGAGTGTAACTCTTATTATTGTATAGTCTCTTGCTGGAGACAAAAAAAAATGGTCAAATTTACCACCCAAATAGAGAAATAAAATATGACACTTTATCTACTGCTAAAAGCAACTGCAATCTGCCATTTTTTTTATATTTTAGTTTTTTTTTTTTATTTCCTGCATTGTTCATATTGTAAAACATATACACATTTCACTTTGCTTCCTATAGGAAATTCTACAGGGCAAGAATTCTAGAACATGAAAAGTCGTATCCCTTAATACATACTTCAAAACGAGAGAAATCTCAATGAATCTTTCCTGGTAAAATATTTTATAAATAAATAATAGCACAGAAATGTGATCAAATATAAGATTACTCCCCTTTGAAGAGAAGCCAGTAAAATTAGATATCTTTCCAATATAGCCATTGCAAAATGCCGCAACTGAGAGATACAGTATCTGGCTGAAGGACAGTACAAGGACTGTATGACGATAATTTGAAATTCTAGTTTATATTTTACCGTAATACTTTTCGATCACTTTCTAAGCTGTGTTGAAAATTCTGCGTCATAGGCTTCTGCTTGCTCACTATTAGTTAACCCTAATCCAGAGGTGATATACTAGAAACATGGTGGACATTAGTCAATGTTTAACAAGATGAAGTGGATATTGACAAACTCCAGAAGTCAGGGCGCATGGCTCCTAGAATGTTACTGGTAAACCTTAATCTGTTTAGTATATAGAATTATTTGGAGGAACTTCATACATTTTAGTTGTTAATTTGATTATCTCCAGGCTCTGTGACTGTTTAGCTATGCATTGTACGTGTTAAGCTTATCAAAAGAATTCTAATTTGCCAACGGATGTGTTTACATCATCGACCATCAAATGTTACAGGAAAAAAATAAGGTCAGAAAAATATTTTGAGTTTGGCTGCGTCATTTGTTTTAATGACTAAACCTTTTTGTGGTTTCTGAAGGCATACAAGAGTTGGAAGATGTGTTTAAAGCAGAGCAGGGATGAGAGCTTAATGATGATTTATTCACTAAAAAGTGAGTCATGCTGAATTTAAAGTGGTGTGGTACTTCAAATAAAAGTTGGGAATTTTATTTCTCATTCAAGAGGTTAGCTTTTTCCTCTTTTCTGCTGTAGGTTGGCACTATCAGCTGCTGAATATTTGAAATATAGGAGTGATTATGGCTCTGGGGCTATACTAACAAACTAGTAAGTGGCTGCAGCCTGCTTTTAATGGAAGTACTATAGTGTTAATTGTATATAGGTCCCCACCCCTTGTTTCCAGTAAACTTTTAAAAAGAAATCTTTTACATCACCTTTTCCACTGCCGAGACTCTCTCAGTGCTACTCACCTCTCCACCTCCCGTAATATCATTGAGGAGGTATGGCCTCCTCCAGTGATGGTCCAATCCAATGCTCCTCATAGATGAGCATTGGAGACCTGATATGCATGTATGTCGAGTACCGCACTCATCCTGTGCTTCAAAAGAAAGCACTAAAACCAATGCTTTTCTATGAGCATTTGTGTCAGGTGACCACGTTGTACTTAGCCAAGGTAATAGAAGTCAGGAAGACAGCCACTAGAGGTGGATTAAGCTTTGCAATGTGATCACAACAGTTTCTAAAAAAAACAAAACTGCAATGTTTTACATTGAATGGTTAAAATCACATTACCACTGCACCCAAAACACATAATTAAGATGAAGTTGTCTGGGTGACTATAGTGGTCCTTTAAAGGTTAAATTGTACATGCAGCGCCTCTGTGGGCTATTTTCACATAGTCCACTTGTGTTTTCTATATTGCAATGTTTAGGTCAAAATAGCCAAGTTTGAAATATATCTGTACTATCAACAAACTGCAACACTCCAACCAGTACAACTAAGTCACACTTACAAATCTAACAGTTTACAAAGCCCCAGGATGAATCATAGACAATAGTAGCACAATAACTATATATAATATTTTGTGACAAACCAATGTTGGCTTCAATTTAATATTGTTGGATAAGATTTCGAACTGATTTAATATTTTTGGATAAACTTTTAAAATTATGTAATATTATGAAAAATATATTAATTCTGTAATATTTTGATCGTTTTTGATATATGTTTTTCATATAATTTTACTAGGCTCTACTCACCCACCCTGGTTCCTTCTAATTATATAGCATGCACCTCCAGCTGTTTGGAACCACAGCCAATCACCTCCTTATTACCTTCACATATTATCAGCTGCTGCAGTTATACCATTAACTCTCTCTGCCATCACATACAAATTCCTCTGCTACCTCTTGTCTCATACCCCCATTTCAACCTTTAGATTTTAAGCTCACGGGCAGGCCCCTCTACCTGTTGTATCGGTCTGTTCTTATTGTGTTCGTCTTTTTCCCAATTGTACAGCGCTGCAAAATTTGTTGGCGCTTTATAATAATAATAGTAATAATAATATTTTAATTATCCAAAAATATAAAATTATTTGGAAAGCTTATCCAGCAATGTTATATCGAGGCTATTATGTCATAAGACTTTTCTTGTTTTCATTTACTGGGGCCAAATATGACTACTTGGGCAGTAAAGAAGGCTATATACATAGACTGTACAACATTCCAAAAACCAAGATACAAAATGAGATTTGAAATCTGCAATGAAACCTCATTATATAGTGTTTTGTAGAGAAAACAAACGGCATCTTTTTGGATTACCTGCTAAGCTTTTTATACAATCCTCTTCAATTATCTAAATTAAATAGTGTAACGCGCATAGAAAAGGGAAAGTCACAGTCTGGAATTGCTTTAGATATAATCTGTATTACATTCCTGTGCTGCATGTTTTCACTGGGGTCAAAAGGATTTGTGTGTTGGGGTTTACTGGTGGGAAGCGGCAATCATTGTAAACTGCTGAAAACACTGAAAGGTGAGGTCGGATTGTCATTTAGCAAATGTCACCTGGATTCTGTTCATTTCTGTTTAAAGGCAGTGAATGCCTTGAAGGCAACTGGATAAGATTTCACTTAAAATCACTTTTGCTGTCTCAAGAAACCACGTATCAGGTTACCAATTACATAGTGTTATCCAACATATGTGATACACCGATTTAAGAGAGGTATAACCCATGTTATTATATAACACATGAAATTCAGGTGAGCACATTATTTGCAGTATGTATACACACTCTTTAGGATTAAATTATAAATATGCAAGTAATTGTTGAGTCCCAACAAACAAATAGGATTTCTAGCGCTTCTATCAATATTGGTAGGCAGCTAGGACATCCCAGGCCAGAGTTTCTTCTTTCTGGTAATTGTTGAGTTCCGTTGCTTGCTGGCTTTATGTCTCCTCAGTTCTTCATGTTGTTTGGAACACTACTGTGTCCCCATTAGTTTCCCATGCTGTTTGGAACACTACTGTGTCCCCATTAGTTTCCCATGCTGTTTGGAACACTACTGTGTCCCCATTAGTTCCCCATGCTGTTTGGAACACTACTGTGTCCCCATTAGTTTCCCATGCTGTTTGGAACACTACTGTGTCCCCATTAGTTTCCCATGCTGTTTGGAACACTACTGTGTCCCCATTATTTCCCCATGCTGTTTGGAACACTACTGTGTCCCCATTAGTTTCCCATGCTGTTTGGAACACTACTGTGTCCCCATTAGTTTCCCATGCTGTTTGGAACACTACTGTGTCCCCATTAGTTCCCCATGCTGTTTGGAACACTACTGTGTCCCCATTAGTTCCCCATGCTGTTTGTAACATTGCTGTGTCCTCTCAGTTCTTCGTGCTGTTTGGAACACTACTGTGTCCCCATTAGTTCCCCATGCTGTTTGTAACACTGCTGTGTCCTCTCCGTTCTCCGTGCAGTTTGGAACACTACTGTGTCCCCATTAGTTCCCCATGCTGTTTGTAACACTACTGTGTCACCATTAGTTCCCCGTGCTGTTTGTAACACTACTGTGTCACCATTAGTTCCCCGTGCTGTTTGTAACACTACTGTGTCACCATTAGTTCCCCGTGCTGTTTGTAACACTGCTGTGTCCCCTCAGTTCTCCATGCTGTTTGGAACACTGCTGTGTCTCCTCAGTTCTCCATGCTGTTTAGAACACTGCAGTGTCCCCTCAATTCTCCATGTTTCTTAGAAGGGAATAGTGGCTCAGGATGTTTTTACCTTCCATTAGCTGATGTTGCTTCCACACAGCCTTTTGAGGCATGAATGGAGGATTGGAAGGTTTTTACAGCCTCTCCCCTGAGTCTGTACATGTGCAAAATATGTGTATGTATGGGGATTAAGAAGAGACACCCTGATGCAGTAGATGTGGAGTTTGGTCATCCTCCTGTGGAATCTTTGAACCACCACTAGTATCACGAACCTGATGGTATATATCCCACCTTTGAGTATGATGGTCTGGTCTTCACTGCACAGTTCTGCAGGTCTGCGCTGGAGCCATGTTACACAGGTATTTATAAGCATAAATGCTGTTATATACTCAAACTAAACGGATAGCATCCATATGTTTCCTGAACAGCTTGCGCTGCTATCCAGGTGCATAGAATGCTAATTGGAAACTGCATGCAACAATTTTCTGAGGAGAACCTATTCACAATCATTTACAACTGAAAATAAATCTTGTATTTCATGCACTCCAGCATGAACAACGTTTTTTACACGGAAAAAACACATATGCGATTAATATGTCTAAATGAGGCTGATAGTTCTTGGGGGGAAAAAAAAACTCAATAAGGTATAGTATGTGGTTGTTTTATTGTCACCACAAATCCTTTTGACCCTGTCAGTGAAAACATGCAGCATAGGAATGTAATACAGATTACAGCAGATTCCTGACTTTGGTTGCTTATTAAAAAGAAAATCACAGAGCCTGCACTCTTTCATAACCAACTCCTAAATGGCATCACCTAATACGTATATTTTAAATCAGTGATTACAATTTAAGTGACAATGTATGTTTGTTAATTTTAAAGTTGTCATTTATACGTTGCTAAAACCTGCTGGATAATTTGAGATCGGTCCTCTGTTTTACCATGCCAGTCTGTCTTACATGGTGGATTAACTTAAAGTTTTCTAAACGCATTATTCAATATTATTTATAGTTTTTCATGCCATCACAATCACACCACTGTTTAATTTGCAGAGTTTACAAGCATATATATATAGTTGGATCATCAAAGGAGATTACTTAAATGCTCTTCAGCTGATTATCCAAATCCACAAGTATGTAGAACATCATGCTGTTAAAGTAAAGAGCTCCTAAGAAGTTCCACATTCATCATTCAAAGCTCCTGGATCCATACCTTGTACAATGTGTATATAAGATCACACTACCAGTTGGGTGATATACCCTTAGAACTATGTTTCTTTTCTATATTCTATTCTGTTTCTTTGTGGTGGAACATCAATCCTTGTAAACAAACAGTTAAATGAAAAGAATCACTCCAGACATGTGATCTTTGACTCGTCTCCATCCTTCATAGCACTCTTTTTGTAAACGGAGGTCAAACATTTGTTAAGGGCAAATACATCTAACAGGGATGTTTTCTGGAGCCTTATCTCCCTACCCTTGCTCCCCCCCTTACAAGTATGCCCTGCGACCTGTGGTACAAATGTGCTTTGTCTGTCAAATGTGCTCTGTCAAATTGTTGAGAAAGTTTAAAGTTTAGCTTATTTACTAGGGTACAGAAAAATGAATGATACGATTTTACAAAAAGTGTTATGTGTCTACATACTTCTCAAGAATTTGGCTAGGAGAGCACTGTCATGTCACCCAAGTTAATGGACTTCATCAAATACTCTAACAAAGTTAATTGACAAACTACTGCAGTCCTATTCTGTTGGAGCCAACAATGGGTCCTTCTATTTTCATAGCTGTTAGATTCTGTTGGATTGAGAAAAAGAGAAAAAAAAAGTCTAATCATGCCATGTACTTAGCTTTTATTGATCGTAAATGACATATTATATCTTGACCATTAGGCTTCAATGACTAAAGAGACAAGTTCATTGAGGTAATTATTGGATACAGTGATTGCTTCCAGTATCGAAGGAAACTGGTATTTAGAAACTAATCGGTTATTTTTGTCTAATATTTATGTATACTTTTTCTATTAAATGTTCCTAGTTGTACGTGACCCATTAAAATGGTAGTTAATACCAGATGTACATTTTCTATTGCAAAAAAACCTTGAGACTAAAGGCTCTTCACATAACATAGAAAATAGGTTTTCCTATCTATACATCTACTGGTATATTTAATTTATGTATAATAGATTTATCGTAATCAACTATGATGTTTTAGTTACTAGCCTAGTACCAGGTGGTACCTTTAGTATTTCCTTCATTAGAGAAACTATTTAAAGGCCTGCAGTCTCCCTCACAGAGTATTTGTAGCTTGACTACCATTGTAGACTGAGGGGCAAACTCGCCAAGCGTGTTTTTTGCAAGGATATGTTTTTTTGCAAGGATATGTGTTTAGCAGGTATAACAAATAGTCAATAGGATACTCTGGAATTAAGGCATTGTTAAATCAGGACAGAAAGAATCATCTTCTGAGACAAGATACACCGCTGCCAAGCTATGGAGGGATATTAAAAAGTGAAAAACCTGTCCTAAATGTAGAATATTTAACATTTTGCCCCACTCACAATGAGTTTTATAAATTGGCTACTTTTGGTCCCAGGTATAAACACTACAACTTGTGGTAGAGGTTAAGGTACCAGAAGTCCACTTGCACTTCCCCATAGTAAAATCTCAAACCATTTTAGTAGTTATGTCAACTTACCCGCATACCGGTGGCTTTTCATAAAATCACAAGGAAGAAAAGGATTTGATGGAGGTTCAGAGCTTCAAGATAACAAGGGACCTGGAGTCACTATCACACCTGCACTGCAAAGCCTATTTAATGCACTAGTGCAACATTGCAAGTAATTTTACCATTCATTTTTACACTGATTTTACTTTAACTTATTGATAGCATCACATTATCCACCAGACTTCTACTGTGATGATTTCACTATGATTTCTATGGTTGCAAATAAAGTAACAAAAAGGAAAAACATCCTGTGTGGTTCACGGAACAGGTTTGAACAAGAGAGAAACCACTCAACTTTAAACAGTTGTTTGGGATGTGATGTTTAGGCTGCTAGGTATAGCACAATAAGGGACCACGAAGCAAGAGTTAACATCCTTAGGATACAAATTGTCAAAATACAAGTATAGCAAATAAACTCACAAGTGATTATTTCATTTCATATTACTCAGTGCTTATTTCCGTTTTACATGCTTCAGCTAATGATATTTTGGATTAAGAGTGTGGCAGGTTAAAAGACCTGATAAAACTACCAAATGCACTGAAATACAAAAATATATTGGAAAATAAATAGAAATTAATCTTGACTTAAAGTGACACTCCACTGCCCAAATAAAAAAATATAAATAAATAAAATATAATTATGCATTTTTACATCAGGTTATAAATAAAAACAGCTTGCAAAAGCTGCAGATTTCTTGTTTGAAGCCTTTGAAAATACTCCCCATCTAACCCACCCAGAGATTCTGTGGCTGTCCAATCACAGGCACAGAAAGCCACATTGGGGACAATGCAGCTCAATGAGTCTTTGCAAGGCACATGCAATGAGCAATTGGCTATCTCCTGAGTTTAGCACCACTGAGCCTATCGACCAGGAAGTAAAAGGATCAGTTGTCTGATTGACAGCCAGGGGTATTTAACAACGAATTTATAAACTTGCCAATTTCTATTTAAAGCAGCAAAGGACATGCTCTTTACACATAAAGCTCTTCAGCAAGCTAAAGTGAATTATGGATCTAGAGTGTCCCTTTAAACACGCAAGTCTATGTTAATCATACAATCACGTGTTTGTCTTGTTTTTCATCTTTATTTCACGGGCCAAATTTAAGGTGTTTTCATTTTTAGAGCGTTAGGCAAGTGAAAAATGTCCATTTCTTCTGAGGAGCATATCATCAGATAAAAATGCTGGTCATTTAATCAATTGTAAAGTTTTGAACCAAAACAAAACCTAGAATTTGAGCTACATGTTTGTTCAACTATAATTTACTTATTTCATATTAAGTGCGCGCACTTTTTATAAATCATTTTGTTCAAGGCAACAAGGGCTTTTATTTCACATCAAATATGTATCTAATGAAAACGATTTAATATGAATAAAATCTGAAAAAGTGTTATATGCATGGCATTTTAACTGTGAATGTCACAATACTGTTAGCTCTTACTGCAATAACACACATATTTGAATGCTGTGATTTTTCAGGAGTACAACAATGACCCCCATGTACAGGTTTTATGGTGTTTTGGAAAGTTACAGGGTCACATATGGGGCTTGCCCATTTCAGTTTTTACACATTAAAACTTGCCAGAATGGTATGCTGGGCATGTTGCCTTTGAGGCCATATCATTTACAAAAGTAGGTAACACAGGATATTGAAAATGGGGTAGATTCAGTCTTTTTAATAACCATTTAGTTACAAACCCTGGCCAAAGTTAGTTTTCATATTTTTATTTTTAGCATTTTGCACACACAAACTGCACTTTCATGGATGATATAATCATCATACATTTTACTGCTCTAAAACACTGATATTTGTGTTCAGTGATGTCTCATATGTACAACAGTACCCCAATGTACAAGTTCAAAATACACTTAGAATCTTTGCACTATAATCACAATGTACTGTAGTGGTTGGAGTATTAAGTGCACATGAAATTGAATACATTGATTTCATAAGTTCTGCAATTTAATACAGTAGATACATTTATTGTCATAAATGGGTTTATTCACTAAACACTGAAATGCAATGCATTAAAAGTCAAACTGTAAAATTTGGCTTAAAATCGCCAATATGTTACTAATAGCAGAAATGGACAATATTTTCTGAATTTGCTAGTTTTAAGTAACCTTTGCAATTTGGTTTTCAGTTTACTAATGTTTGTAGACCTCACAAAACCTAGTTTCTCAATAGGGTACATGCAACACAGTCAGGGGTTACGCCAAGAGGTGGCCACCAGGAGTCAGCTGGCTGGGGGATAATGGAAGTGGCAAGGGAACTGTACTCTTCCAGCACTGCTCCCTTGCACTTCCTGTAACGGAGCAGTGATGTTAGAACATGAAGATTACACAAGCCACACACTGGATTCCAGGGAAAGAATACACTCAAGTTTTCCCAGAGGCTGTGTGGACTTAAATAAAAATAATAATTTGTGAGTGAATGTGAATGTATCTGTCAGTGAATGTGTGTGTCAGTGAGTGTCAGATCTTTGGGAGTATGTCAGTTTGTGTCAAATCAGTGAGTGTCTTTCTCAGTAAGTATGTCTATCACTGTGTTTATGTGTGCGTCAGTGTCCTCTATGTTTACCTGTGTGTGTTAGGGTCGTCCGTTATTAACTATTATGTGTGTATTATATATTTTCATTTTGTGACTTTTATACTTCAGATTAATAGTCCATCCACTCCTCCTTACATTCCTTAATATTCACATTGTGTCATGTTGAAAAATCCTCTAAATCAGCTATGTGTTTAGTTTGGATACTCTGGCCTTAATTTTTTAATTCACTTTGAATTCTCACTTTAGCAAATAACTCTATAAGGTTGAAATAGGTCAGAAGTGTTTGTCTTTATATTCTATGAACAGACTAAAATGAGAGTTTTAAAAGACTCTACACCTTCATTTCTCATTTATATATTTTAGAAGACATAGGTCAGCAATGTTTGAGAAACTAAACTGGAACATGCACAATAGGAGGAGAAGAAAACCTGAGGTCCGTTTATATGTCCTATTATATGCGCTTTTGTTGCCCATCTGCGAATGCTTGAACATACAGAAGGCTTCCTTTTATGTGAGAAGCTAACCATTTAAGACCTATACAATGTCTAAAGCACATGTAATTAATTTTCTCTCTTGAAAGGAATGTTTAGACAAATTACACATATTAAAACTGACCTAAGGTTAGACATCAGTAGGAGGTCTGAGCAACAGTGCTATCATTTGAGTTACCTGAGCCTATAAATCTCAAACAACGGCATGCATAAAAAAAAAAAAAAGGCAATGACTAAGACAATTAAAATGTATGAGCATTAAATAAAAAAAATATGTAGTTTAACTGTAGTAATAGCGTACAATTAGTATTATTGTTCTTTAATAATCTGTATTGTAAATGCTCCATGTACACTTCATAAGAAGACTGAACACTGAGTGAGTGAAATGTTTGGAAAATAACAATATTAAGATGAAAAGGAGATCAAGTGCCAAAATTGTGTTGATACTTTGTGTGACTACATGTCAAAATATGGTGAATTGATAATAAACAAAACACTCAACTAGAGTGTGCGCTGACAGCATATTGGGTTGACATAAAACCATTTGTTTATGGTCTAAGTAATGTATTCTGGCTATGATGACCACATTGTTGATTTTATCAGGGATGCAATAAAAAAAAAAAAAAAAAATCATTCATTACAATCGATTATTTAAAATGTCTATTATGAGCTGTGGCTTTTTAAAATTTATTTATTTTTTAATAAATCCAGTCCTTTTATAAGTTATACATAAAACAAAGCAGGGACTATTTTGCCTTAAGTATGAATGCATTTGATCCTGGAAGGATAAACAAGCATTTGTTCTCCAACTTATATTAGTTGCTGATAGTCAGTGTCATAGACAATAATTGCGTTTGTAAACTTTCCTTGCTTTGACCTGGGTTGAGGCGATGTACGTAGCACGTAGGTTCTGAATTGTAACATTAAGCATATTGGAGGCTTCGTCACTGCAGCCTTTACAGCATCTTTGCAGCCAAAACAGGACACAAAGAATTTTTCTCATGAACCTGCCCTGAGAAATCCAGCAGTTTTGGGTTCATGCTGTGAGCTAAGTGGGTTGTTTTGCTAGTTACGAATTTCCTTTTAATAAAATGTTATATTAAATGCAAACAATATTTGTTTCTGGTATTTTGTGTGTGATGCCTAAAAAAAATAAAAAAATAAAAAAAGGAATTAATTTAATCTAGCCTCACCTAACAATAACAGTTACGTTGGACTGACATCTTCAATAACATTTAGGGAGTGACAGCTTTGAATATTAAATGGACACTATAGACTGCAAATGGCCCAGTTTTAATGCATTGAAAGAAAAGATTATATCAAAATAAAGGAGATATTAAACTTTGTCCCAGTTATTTTGCTGCACATTTTCAGAATGTGAAGATTTAGCAGATGAAACGTATCAACCATTTCTACGGATAGCATCAATTTCCATAAGCGTACTGATTATTATTATTATTATTATTATTATTTTATTATTTATATAGCGCCAACAAAATCCGTAGCGCTGTATCTTATAAACTCCAGCGAAGAAGGGTTTCATGTAGTATGTACTTCAGTTTTCAGTAACAGTTTAATTTGTGTAAAAACATGCATGACATTGCTGTACAATATATATATACACTATTTCCCATTTACGAATGTGGAACTTGCTGGTGGTCTGCACCCAACTTGCACAGACAGGGAGAAGATTACATTTCCCCTGATGCTCTTTGTGAGATAGTGTACTTATAGCGGCTGCAGTTTTTTGCAAATCGCTGCAGTTATAACCTACAGAGAGAAGATGCACAGGGGAGTCCCTTCAATATAAACTAAGCTAGGAAGAATATGTTGGTATTAGCTAAGCAAATAATTAATAGCATCATAGAACATGCTGGAACTATACTTTGTGAACATTGCCAAAACTCTAGTGGCACTGTTCCAGCCATCTGTCATTTTAAATTCTCCAGAAATTATAGAGAATATAGCAAAAATAGATATTCATAGAGATGTAGAAACACACATTTATATAGTACTAGCAAAGCTTGGAATCCCAAGACCTAGGTTACTAGCCAGGTCTTAAACCTTGCCCACCACTGCAAACATGGATGGTTCATGGCACATGGGATTTCTACTCACCATGGCAACATCTTTGCTCACCAATGTGGCTAGTGGAAATTTTGAGACCCAGTTATTTAAAGTCTCACAGAACAAGAATATCTATAATAAGATTCTACTCCTATATGTGTAAATCCTAGTATTCTGTCCATTTACCCTCAAACTGGAAATCTGACAGTTCAATAAACAATTAGACCTGATTAGTTAATCTAAACCCTTTCCTGACAAAAGGAGGGCTTGCATGCCCTAATAATCTGGTCCTCCCTACAGGACAAATACTTACCTTCCTCACCGGATCCTATTGGGGGAAATGCCTGGCAACCGAGGCAATCCCCATGCAAGATTTAATTCTATGTATTTATATATTATTTTTACATAATTATGTGATGTTATTAATTTTATAGGGATTGCATGTAATTTGCAAAGCCTATATTTGACTCTCTCAAAAAAACCTATAAAACTTGTACATGGGGGTGCTGTTGTATTTGTGAGACATCACTGAAGACAAATATGAGTGTTTTAGAGCAGTAAAACATATAATTATGATATCAACAGTGAAAGTGCAGTTTTAGTGGAAAAAAAAATGCTAAAAAAACCCCAAAACAATATGAACGCTAACTTTGGCAAGGATTTGTGACTAAGTGGCTACTATAAAAGACTGGACATCCCTCATTTCGAAAACCCTGGGTTGCCTACTTTTGCAAACGGTATGCCATGATGGGGGTAATTGTCATTCCTGGGCGGGCATTTTAATGTAATTCAATTTTTATTCATAGAATAGGTAGTGTTTACATTGCTGCCTAGGAACACTTCTATTGGCAGTCACTCGGATGGCCACTAGACGTGCTTCCAAGGTGAGTACTGCACAACGTGAGAAGCATCTGTATGAGGAGATGCTGATTGGCCAGCACAGCATTTGGCTCTTCCTCCCACCCTGCTGAGATCATCAGAATTTACGATCTCAGCCAATCCAATGCTTTAACATTGGATTGGCTGGTATTGTCAATTTTGATGATATTAGTCAAGGAGGTAGATCGGAGGCAGAGCCAACCCTGGCAGACCTGCGCGGCGCTAGAATAAAGGTGATTTTTAAAATCCTATTTAATGGGGGCAAGGGGAGCGGCCACCTAAATTGTGTTTTGAACACTATAGTGTCAGGAATACACGTTTGAAATTCCTGACCCTATAGTGTTGCGTTGCTTTAATCTCAATGTAATAGCAATCATAAATAAGAAAGAAGTTTGAAAAATAACATCTTTTGATATGTATTTGTAGGAAATTGGCCAATGTATAGTAGATCTTACACCCAACTATGTATTTTGTGATTACAGGTTGACCTTAGCGAAGTATTGACAGCACAGTATTGTACATCATGCCCTGTTGTGTGGAACATGTAGATTTGATATTGTAACCCTTTCCATGTCCTGTAATCCAAAGATAAACATAGCTTAACCACACAGATACATACATACAAAGCTAGAGATAAGATTCTAGAGATTGGCTAGTGATAAGAATTATTTATATATGAATTGTTGTAAACTTTGACAAAGCTTCAAAGGCACAAGGGTTCGTTTATTTAGGTGAGATGCAAAGATGGTCATCTGGAATTCAGGTTACAACTTTCACTACAATACAAGTACAGAGGATCTTCAGGGGACAGCAGAATTTTCACTACATGAAAAATGATGGCATGTATGCAATGCACAAGTTTTAATGCTAACAATGCATTGATGGACACTTTCAAGGTTGAAGCAGCTATGTTTTCTTTTTTTTATCCATACTTCTTAGTTTGATAAGGGAATGAGAAAATATTCTTAGGCAGGTATCTCACTTTCCCTTATGCTATAGTTGTCTCTAATCAACTACTTCAAAGTAATCAGAGTAATCAAGGATAGTTGCTGTGTTGGCTTGTATATATACTGGTGCTATCTTGTGTTTCATATCCAAAACTTATCTTTTTTCATTGGATATGTTTGTTTACCCCATAAAGGAGCAGCTGCAATTATGAACGCATGATATATAGATATATACATTAATTGTTGTATATATTTTTTTTAGGAATGACTAACAGAATATTTAATATAGATAGAACTTGCTGTATATAGATATGTTTAGGCAGGACACATACTGCATGCACAAATTACATAACTATATCATAACTAAGTCTCAAAGGGAAGCCTTGAGCACAAGATAAATATGTTAGTGAATGACAGACTACAACTTAGCACAGAGCAGAAGTAAGCGACCTTCGACATTCCATATGTTGTGGACTACACCTCCCTTGATGCTTTGCCAACATTATGGCTGTAAGAGCAATATGGGAGATATAGTTCACATCTGGAGTGCCAAAGGTCTACCATTAGCATTGAGCATCTGTCTGGTAGAAAACTGCAGATCTGGCTATTTCAACATACCTGATACAAAGGTTCTTCGTTTTGTGATAGGTTTCGTCTAAAGAATAAAAGTAATATAATGACATTTAAAATGAAAGTTATGTTGGTTATTTATACAAAGAGGAATATATTACACCAGCCATGCTTTAGGTCTGCATTCTATATACAAACAATTAATATGTTGGGTGCCTTCCAATAAATGGCACCCGTAGCTTACTCAAACAGGGCTGATGAATCATACCGGGGGCAAGAGAAAACGTAGAGTTAAGTGGCAAAGACAAAACAGTTTTCTAAGAGATCTAAATAACCTCCAGCTAAGGAATACATCAAATGAACACCCTATCTAGCTCCTCATCAAAATCTGATATGTTGTTCCTTGTTTTTCTCTTCAAAATTATCTGATATGTTACTTTTTGCTTCATATTTGCAAAGATAGACCTTCATATACCTTTCTGTAGAGACTGAGATATGGGTTGTGAGATGGGTACAGTCATTGAAATTATGCATTTGTTATAGTTTACATAGTGGAGGCTGGTTGTCATAAAACACACGTTTGTATTTGTAACAGTCTGTAAGATTGGAATCTATCAGATTTTCTTTTGGCTACTCACTGTAAATTTGACTCCAGACTAAAGGCCTGTAAGAGACAGTGGGGTAGAAACAGAATTACACGTTTAGTAGATTTTATTCAGTTCATATTCACTGTATACCAAGATATAGATCAGGATATAGTCTATTACATTTCCTGCTCATAAAGATTAAACCAAAAACACAAGCCCATTGCTGATTCATATTGCTGGGACTGACAAAAGGATAGATTTGGAAACTATAAAACAGCAGAGGTCTATTAGCAAGGGCCATATCTTATGAAACGTGTCACTTGTTATTTTAGTGGACATAGTCAACTCAAACCCACCTTTCAGCAACTTAATGATTTAACCACAAAGTGTTAATTGCTGCACCCAATCACTCTGCCCACAAACATCTGCCAAACTTCGAGACATGAATCAGGAAGCCTCGGATCGGGGAGCCACTGATAGGCAGAAAGCGTCAGCTGACACTCTGATCCAATCAGTAGCTCCCCATTCAAAAATCAGTTTGAGAAATGTATGTATTTTTCTCAAGCACTTTCATGAATAGGGATCTACTGATAGGTTGAGAGAATCACCTGAAGCTCTCAGCCTATCAATGGCACCCCTGGCTTCCATACGCAAACCTTCGACTACGGTGGGTGCTTGTGGGCAGAATGATCAGGTGTCGATTCAACACATTGGGGTTAAACTGTTCATTGAGAGCAGGGGCCATGGTGCCTTCTTGCACCATAACAACTTTATTCTGTTGTTATGGTGCATTTAAGCACAAGGATTACAATCTGCGTTGTCTGCCTGCTCTCCTAAAATAGTCTGTAAATAAACTTGCTTATTAATGTAGATACATCATGGGCAATGAGCATTATTTACAGTGTAGCATAGGATGTTAGTATTTAAGTACTGCATTGCTAAATGTTACAGATCCTGATGAAGGGAACTAATGTCTAGAGCACAACATAAAAGTTTAGCTTTTACTTCTGATGAAGTAACAGCCAGCAGTTTTCTTAAAGGAACTCTAAACTCTAAACACCAGAACCACTACAGCTCAATGTAGTGATTTTAGTGTAGGAAGTCTGTACCTGATTTTTATCATTGATAAACACTACATTTTCTGTGAAAAGGCAGTGTTTATATTAAGCTGTAAGAACACCACTAGAGGTGCTTTCTCTTTACAGTCCCTCGTTGTTTGCTGAATTGACATTCAGCAACCTCACACTCAGCAGTAGCATAACAAATCTATAAGAGGAGATACTGTTTGGCACAGAAGGCCCCCCAATACTTCTCTATGGAGAAAGTTTGATTTGGCTAAGATCATTATTAATGATAATCTTAGTAAGGGGTGGAGTAGTGGAATCAGAGAGTCATGCACAGCAATGGATACAATTGAGTAAATGTTTTTTATTTTCGTTTTGCAGAGGGCCCATATTCAGGATGAAACTCTAGAAATACAAACATGCATTTCTGGCGTTAAAGTTAGTTTTTCTCTTTAAACTAGTCCATGGTTCTTTAGCCACCTTATAGCTTACGTGATGTGGAGTTAAATATCAATTGGAGAGTCAATGGCTGAATCATCATCATTAAACATTATTGGCTACTCTTGCTCTGGGTATTAGGTATGTTTTATGAACCCTACCATCAATGCATCGTATTAAGTAATATGCATCATTTTATCTAGTTTGTTGGATGTTTAAACGTATATTTATGTTATGTGTTTGTAGCTTGAGAACTACATTCAAGATAATATGAAGAAAGAAATGGTGGAACTGCAGCAGAACGCGGTACAGAACCAGACAGCTGTGATGATAGAGATTGGAACCAGTCTTTTAAACCAAACAGCAGAGCAGACAAGGAAGCTAACTGATGTTGAAGCACAGGTAAAACTACTGAACCTGCATTCTTATATCCTCCTGCAGAACTGGTGTCAGTTATTGCTCGAACACTTTATTCTGCCATTGCCAGATGCTTGCTGGTGATCTCATGATTAGACCCTACCTCTCAGAACACATATTATATATTTTGTAAATTGATGTATTTCAATGGACAGACATTTTAAAACTCCATACTCAACTGTGAGGCACAAAGTGCATTAAAAACAGTTTTACATGGTCTGACTGATACTATAAATTTTCAGTGCAGCATTAGGAAATACTAGTTCTTGGCTAACTGTAGTCCGTGAGAGCTATCCTCCTTGGTAGAAGCGGATATTGGCTGCTGCTGTCATTAGTAGAAAACAATGCCTCAGTATTTGGCGTCTTGGTTTATAATGATGTGCCCGCAACCCCTCCATGTAATTATGTTGCCACAATTTATGCTTAACGCTTCAGTTATGTATATAGAAAATAAAGGTACCGGTATACCTGTATCTTGTGATTTTTGTTCCCACTGGACTAAGAATCTTACATGAAAGGAAATCATTTTATTAAGTCTAGACACTTTTTCATTGATCAATTTATTTCAAGAACTTACACAAATGGTCTTACTGTAAGTAGGTTACAATGTTGTAACGCAAGAACCAACTATTTTCCGCTTTAGACTATATAGTTAGAGGAATAGAAACTATTCAAGAATAGATGTAGAAATAGACATTCTTTCAATAACATGAAAGGAAAACTACATTTTATTATATATATCTATATATAGAGATATATAGATATATATATATATATATATATATTTATATAGATAGATAGTTCCAATTGCTTGAACTCCTGTAATTAGGTATAAGCCTGGTGCAAAAAGATATACTATCTTGCTTTGCATGTAATGCCTCTATCTCATATATTAGTTTCCCCTTTTACATTGCATTACTGAAATAAATTTACTTTTGCACGAAATTAAAATTTTTCGAGTATCACCTGTGTATATATAAAATAAATCATATGAAGATAGCACTCCTGGGACTTCAAAATAGTGTGAAAAAACGTATCTTTTTATTCAGGATTCTGCCAAGGTGAATCAACGTTTCAGTTCTCTAATGTTCCATTGGTTCCATTAGAGAACTGAAACATTGATTCACCCTGGCAAAAACCTGAATAAAAAGATAAGTTTTTTCACACTATTTTGAAGTCCCTGGAGTGCTATCTTCATATGATTTATTTTATATATACACAGGTGATACTCGAAAAATTAGAATTTCGTGCAAAAGTAAATTTATTTCAGTAATGCAATGTAAAAGGGGAAACTAATATATGAGATAGAGGCATTACATGCAAAGCAAGATAGTTCAAGCCAAGATTTGTCATAAGTGTGATGATTATGGCTTACAGCTCATGAAAACCCCAAATCCAAAATCTCAGTAAATAAGAATACTGTGAAAAGGTGCTCCAAAATCTCACAGTGTCCCACTTTAATCAGCTAAGTAGGCCATAAAACCTGCAAAGGGTTTCTGAGCCTTTAAATGGTTTCTCAGCCTGGTTCAGTAGGAATTACAATCATGGGGAAGACTGCTGACCTGACAGTTGTGCAGAAAACCATCATTGACACCCATAAGGAGGGAAAGCCTCAAAAGGTAATTGCGAAGGAAGTTGGATGTTCCCAAAGTGCTGTATCAAAGCATATTAATAGGAAGTTATGTGGATGGGAAAAGAGTTGAAGAAAAAGGTGCACAAGCAGCATGGATGACTGCAGCCTGGAGAGGATTGTCAGGAAAAGGCCATTCAAAAGTGTTGGGGACTTTCACAAGGAGTGGACTGAGGCTGGAGCATCAAGAGCCACCACACACAGACGGATCCTGGACATGGGCTTCAGATGTCGTATTCCTCTTGTCAAGCCGCTCCTGAACAACGTCAGAAGCGTCAGAAGCGTCTTACCTGGGCGGAAAAAAAAAACAGACCTGGTCTGTTGCTCGGTGGTCCAAATTCCTCTTTTCTGATGAGAGCAACTTTTGCATCTCATTTGGAAACCAAGGCCTAAGAGTCTGGAGGAAGAATGGAGAGGCACACACTGCAAGATGCTTGAAGTCCAGTGTGAAGTTTCCACAGTCTGTGTTGATTTGGGGAGCCATGTCATCTGCTGGTGTTGGTCCACTGTGCTTCATTAAGTCCAGGGTCAACGCAGCCGTCTACCAGGAGATTTTGGAGCACTTCATGCTTCCTTCCGAAGGCGAGCTTTATGGGGATGCTGACTTAATTTTCCAGCAGGACTTGGCACCTGCCCACACTGCCAAGAGCACCAAAGCCTGGTTCAATAACCGTGGGATTACTGTGCTTGATTGGCCAGCAAACTCGCCTGACCTGAACCCCATAGAGAATCTATGGGGCATTGCCAAGAGAAAGATGAGAGACATGAGACCGAACAATGCAGAAGAGCTGAAGGCCGCTATTGAAGCACCCTGGTCTTCCATAACACCTCAGCAGTGCCACAGGCTGATAGCTTCCATGCCACGCCGCAGTAATTGCTGCAAAAAGAGCCCAAACCAAGTACTGAGTCCTTATGCATGCTTATAATTTTCAGAGATCCGATATTGTTCTACATACACTCCTTGTTTTATTGATTGCATGTAATATTCTAATTTACTGAGATTGTGGATTTGGGGTTTTCATGAGCTGTAAGCCATAATCATCGCACTTATGACAAATCACAACTTGAACTATCTTGTTTTGCATGTAATATAATCTCATATATTAGTTTCCCCTTTTACATTGCATTACTGAAATAAATTAACTTTTGCACAATATTCTAATTTTTCGAGTATGACGTGTATATATATATATATATATAACGCTATAGTGCCCTAGTGGCTGTTTATGTCTCCTGTCCAACTGTAAAACAAAAATATTTTTAGTGACCTTTTCTCCATTGCAACACCATCTCTGTGGGGAAGCTCCACCTACATGAAGATCCATCCTATGTGAAAGAATTGGGAGACTTGTACTAGTGCACATGCGCAGCAAAATGCTATAAGTTCTATGAAGCCATTTGATTAAAATAGAGTTTACTCTGCTATTTCTTTGGAAGCACCCCTTGTGGCTGTCTAAGTGACAACCACTAGAGGCATTTAAAACTGCAATGAAAACTTTTAGTTCTGTAGAATGGCAATATTTTCAGTTGCAGTGTTAAAATGGGGAGGGGGGCAAGGCACCCAGACAAGTTTATTGAGATGAAGTGGTCTGGGTTCTGATAGTGTCCTTTTAAGGAATAGGGATAGAAGATGTGACCTGAATGCATCTGGTCTGCAAGAGCAAATAAACCATCAGTTTGTTTATTGTCTGAACCTAAAGAATATCATGAATATAATATGCACTTTAGCTCTTTGTAATGCTCTATAAAGCCATATACATTAATACCTTGATTGTAAATACTTGTAAAGTAGACACAGCTTTTTTTCTAGACACCTTTCCATGTTACTAAAACCTATAACTCTGCAAATAAATTCCTCATATAGAATGCAGATAATTTAAACTGTAATGTGCCACTTTCCACTTATTGCCCCATTACCTTTCCCTTCACATGTACAATGGCAGCTATACAGGTATCAGTTACTTAACCACAATCTATTTTACCAGAGTTGCTCACTAAACCAGTTATTCATCATAACAGAACGGAGAAAAAAAAATTCTATTTTTTTTGCCAAAGATGGTACAACTGAAAGTAGTTTTTCCCCCCAATTCCATTATTCTAATCTGAAAATTGCATATTACAGCCAAAGCATGGTGTTATGTTTGTGCCTCTGTATCTTCGGACACTGACAATTCAAAAGTCTCGCAGCTACACTGTGCAGTTAGTTTTCCATCTACAAATACGTGACTGGTTATAACGGTTGCAGACATCTGTGCATGCAGTGTGAAAAGGGCAAATTCCAGGAAAATATTTGATTAAACAATTAAATGTGGCTATAAATAGTGTAAAGTATTCTCTAGCTTAAGGGAAAAAAAAAAAGACATTCAAATACTAAACTTAATTTGGTAAATGAGAGGTCAAATTAGTTTGCTACTGCTTTAAATCCCTATGTATTTTCATCAAATATTAGAAGATCTGTCTTTACATAGCTGAAGCACCTAATTAGAAACAGGGTATCATCTGCACACACACACTATTTTGTAGTCAAGCTACTATAATGTATATATTAACACACAAAGGCATGCCAACATACACACCACACAGATATATTTAGTTGGCAGTTGCTGTGGAGGTTGCGATGTGTGAGCCATGCAGACTTTCTGAATGAAATACCGCATAGTCCCAATGATGCATTGTACGTTTGATCTGGTAATTATAGGTAAGGCAGGAGGAACACCATATTAGCATTTATTGGATACAACTTTATGAGACAAACAGGCCCCATACTACTTGCACTTATGGGGTAAAAAAAAAATTGAAATTCTAGAGTGAAAATAAATAACTTGTATGCATAGTAAGGCATTAAAAAAAAATCTTTAAAAATCTTTCACATTCTGTGAAATTATAGCCCTGATTTAATGTGCTTTTTACAGGCTAATCCCCTATTTTTCTTGTAGAGATTGATAAGTAATATTGGGTTTATCAAAGCTGCATTTTTTTTAGTGGACTAGAAAGTTAAAGCATCAACTTGATAAATAGGACAATAATACAATTCTATTGAATTGTTGATGAAGCCCTGGGGTCTCGAAAACAGCTTGTATTGAATAATAAAGAGTTAATAAAAGAAGCACAGTCCCTTGAGCAGAACAATATGAAATCATATCCTCAAGACATTTTTAACATGTCGGATGTGAATAATGAAGTCTTCCTGTCAACAGAAAAAAATGAACCAGATGAAAGAAGTACGTGTAAGCATTCGGCAAGGACATGAAAACAGCAATATTGTCTGAATAGCAGGCAGGCAGCATGACGATGCAGAGAGCACATGCCTGCAACGGGTCCACATTCAAAGCATTTCCTTAACACAGTCATCAATGAAATAAGTACAATTCCTCAACCTGACCAGCATACATGACGAAAGATGTAGGAAATTATTGAACATGTTTGAATATTAATTTAGGTGGAATTGTACATACTTACATTTCTTTCATAAGCCATTCTGATATTTTGGCTGGCAACATACAACTTAGTTTAAAATATGTATTTTTGCAATGCGTTAAAAAAATAAATAAAATAAAAATAAAAATAAAATAAATAAATAAATAAAAAAAAAATATATATATAAATACATTACTAAACATAAATACACACACCAGTGTGTCTCATAATTCCATACATTTGTGAACTATATTTCCTATGGTGGCTTAACCAGCTTTCAAGGTTTTACAGCAGCCAGTGATGGCTAACATTTTTTGAGCTGGAGTGCACAAACCGTAATACAAACCAACTTTTTTTCTTCAAAGTGCCAAAACGGCAATTAAACCTGAATACTGAGGATTAAGTTTAGAAAAAACAACTCATACAGTTGTCCAAACTAATTAACATATTTTGTTTTAAGATGATCCACACACATGCTCACAGATACACAGAAACTCACAGATACACATACACTGACACTCAGAGACACACACATACACTTACCTAAACATACACAGGGGGAGGGGAATTGCCCTATTGACCCCCACTGGGTTCGGCGTGCCAGATATGGCACATGTGCCATAGGTTCGCCATCGCTGCAATATAGCATAGACAGCCTTTAAAGAAAGAATGATTACATTTATAAAATGTGACCTACCCACCTCTGATAGGTGCTAAAATTGTCGATTTACTAAATAAAGTGATCTTATTTATCTCCTTATAAAGGTGTTTAATCAAACAAGCCGACTTGAGCTCCAACTTTTGGAACATTCACTATCGACAAACAAATTAGAAAAACAAATATCAGATCAGACAAGTGAAATATCAAAGCTGCAAGATAAAAACAGGTAAATGGCTGATATATAATATCTTACTGTAATGTTATTGTTTCTGGATGAATTTTCACAGATGAAAGCAGTAGGTCTTTGCAAAGCAAGTGCTCTGTTGCCTGCCTCCTGAGTTTCACTTTCCTGAGCTAAACTCTAGTGATTTCCAGCACTGGTGGTGTACCAAGGTTAATTTATAAAAATGCCAATTTCTATTGAAGTCTGCTCTTTTTGTAAAATGAAGAAAGAGCTGACACTTTTCATGCATAAAGTATTTCAGCAAGCTAACATGCTTTAAGTGTGTGGAGTGTCCCTTATAATTATAGACTTTAATATCTATTATTGTTTTTTCATTTTTTCAATGCCAACATATTCCCTAGCGTCGGGGACAGATTTAGCTCAAGGTGACAGGCTGGGGAGGGGCGGCATGGCCAGTGAGGAGGTCAAAAATCTCCCTCACTGGTCAGCTCATTTTCCTGCTGTGTGGCTGAGGAAGACAGGGGATATTTCCACTGTAGGGCCAGTACTCAAATAAAGGAAGGGAAGTTCTCCCTCACCTGTATTATATCAGAGCGTTGCTGCAAATTTCCACAAGGTGTGCTCACATGTTGTACCTCCCAGCAGACCCCCAGTTAAGCCAGGGAGGGGGAATAAACTTTAATACAGTCGCTGTCAACCTATCACAGTCCTTGGCACCCTCAAATAGCTTATGTTACATCAGTATAACTTCTGTCACCCAATTATACCCACGATCCACCCGAGTAAAGCCATTATAACCCCACCATAGTCTATTTTCCCTTACTACAGGCCCTGTCACCTTACAATAGTCTCAAACCTACCACTACAGCCCCATTTCCCTTTGCTGTAGGCCCTATTCCTCCACTACAGCCCCTCCCCCCCCACCGTAGCACTGATCCTCTTCCTACATTCCCTATTTCCCCACTACGTTCCCCCACTACAGCCCCAAATGCAGCACAATGAGCTGCCACCTTCAGATAAGCAACCCCACAAGCAGTCTACACACACATTGTCGATCAGCTCTGTCCCACTTGTCATCCCACCACCCACCTAGTTATATTCACCAACCATTCATACACCAAACTAGTCATATAAATGCATGCAATCGAATACTCCAAACCTTGTGTGCATATGTAATCTATATGTATAGGAGAGTGCAATAAGGACACTGGCCGCAAGGATGATAAATCTGCCCCTGCCTAGCAATTCACAATGTGATACATGAAAAATTGTCTGGAAATTAAATCAATGAAATAAAATTACACAGATAATTTTTTTTGCTACGTTTCCTAATATAAATTTATTAAATTAGATATTGTGATATAATCTGATGCCCAATTTAATCCATAAAGCAATTCTAATTGTATATTTATATACAAGCAATATATGTCACTGTAAAAATTTGTTTTATGGCATATAAAGAATGTTTATAACTTGTGTACTCTTCTGCTAGGACTAGAGTTGCTTATTTAACACATTTATGGGTTGTGATTACAATTTTCCTTTTCATGCAACATAACTAGTCTGCAAACAACCCTAAAAAATGTTTTTAACAAGGTGATTATTACGGCAATAACGCACGTGTCCCCAGTGATCAATAGAGGAAATACCATCTGTTTTCATAAAACAGCAATTGTGCCAGAGTTCATAGGTTTTTCCTCAGGACGGAGATAAAAAGCATTTCCACAGACACAATGACATATTATTCCCTCTGTCTGTCTAATACATCCTTTCCTGTGCAGGGGATATTTGTGCAATGTGTAAAAAGGTGTGCAAGAACACTGGAAGATATGTATTTACTAAATATTAAAGTTCAGTACAACGGCACACACAGCTTCACTGTAACTGCAGAAAAGTGTAGAATTTGAATTAATATTTTACTAAGATTAATATTTTTATGAAGTGTATTTAGTTGGGCTCTGGATAAAATACTCCTGAATATAGAGCAAGTTAATAAATGGTGTTTTCTGCTGTTAAGACAATGGCAGACCTTTGACTTTTTTTTTTTTTTAACCAAGTCCTGCCCCTATTGTCTCAAATGGTCCTTTTCTGCAGATATCCGCAATATCAGGAATAAATAACATTTTATGTTAAAATAACCAAGCTGGAAGAAAAACAGTGTTTCATATTTGGCCGATAATGTTCTCTTCTCTTGTCAATTCTACACATTCCCTGGTTTTGTGAATGAATCCATTCTTATACTCAGAGAGAATAGTCTCCAGTGTTTGACAATAACATTTCCTGCTAATCCAATTAAGAAGACTTGTATCACTTTTATCACATTATTATTACATTATATAGCACCAACATATTCTCCTGCACTTTACTATTACATTGAGGGGTAAGAAAAGCCTTATTCAAATGAGTTTACAAATCTATGGAAGGCGGATATATAGCATTAGGTGTCTTGCCTAAGGAAAGGACACTTGGTGGCAAAGTGGTCTGGCTGGGATTTTGTATCTGGTCTTCCAAGTTCTAAGGCACTGAACATTACTACTACTCTATGACTTTAGAAGACAAGACTGTCAAGTAAAGTAATCTTAAAGGACAAATGTTACCTCAACTGTCACTATTTTTTTCATATAATAAGCCTAGCTTCCAATCAAGTTTTAAAACAAAAAATATATATTTTTAAATGAATTATATGAAAAAAAAAATCCCATCTCTACCTTTAGTATACAACAGGTTCCTACGGCCAAATACATGGACTTTGGGTCAGGCAGTGCTTGTACACCAACCACAGTCTCTATGGTCTTTCCTGCTTCTGTGCAGTGAGTAAAGTAGGGAAGATCATAGAGACCAACAGTCAGTTTTAAATCCCTGTCCTATCAAAGATGCATGTATATGGCTGAAACATCCTGTCATATGTATATGGATAGATTTGGATTTTTTTATTTAAAGTATACTTCATTTAAAAAAAAAATATTTCCTTTCAAAGAGTTTTATTAGATTAAACCATATTTTTTTGTGACTGTTGTCTTCTAGTATTCACCGCAGGATAGGGACTCAATGGACCACCTGATCATAGGCCAAGCAGAAGTAGGGGCAAACATTTTAAAGCTGAAAGAGAGAAAGCTTTGCTGGGACACTTGTAAGAAAGCATGGCGATAGAAATATTCACTGCTCTGGAACTCTTGAGAAGGCAAACCGGAGTATTTCTAGAGTATTAAAGGAAAACTTTAGTGTTCGAAATATAAATAAGTCCCTCAGCTTTGGGTTGGGCTCCTCCCTGGCTTTTAAGCAGACAGCAGGTTTTGTTACTTCCTGGTTGTTTCGCTCAATGGAGCTAACCTCAAGCAGCAGGCAATTGCCCAGAGCACCTGCCTTCTCATTGAGCTGTATTGGGAAGTCTCTGGACAGCCAGAGAAAGTCTGGGCTGGGTTAGATGTGGAGGTATTGCAAAGGCTGCAGGCAAGAAATGGCAGGTTTTGCAAGCTGTTTTGTTTCATGATCAATTAAAAAAAAAAAAAGCATAATTAAATGCATGTAAGTTTTCATTTGGAGTATGTCTACTAAACAGTGATTAAATTGAATTTCCCTTTAATATTTCTGAGGCTACAACTATTAGAAATAGCAAGTGTTTAACGCCCAATGCTTGCTAAATTGGCATCTGATATAGATTTCATTACCTTTACAGTGTTAGGGAATCAAAATTTGTAAAATGCAATGTAACATACAATAGACAGGATCCCTCAGAGTGACCACTGGAATTCACACATATCAAAACACTGCTATTATTAAACAAGTTAGTGGCTTATAAACCACAGATTTTCATTCCTGAATGCCTTTTAAAAACATTCTTACTATGGAAAAGTTAACACATAGACACACATAAATATACATTTAAACCACAGTTTTAAAACATATAAACACACACATTTGTTTATAGGCACTCTTATTTAAAACAATATGCTATCACATGAAGCTTTGCAAACACAACTACATCTTTGTGTTCACATTTTCCCCCAATTCCTTTGCTAATGTGTAAATCATTCTGCTTTCTTTATTATAAATAGCATTAGCCTGCAATGATTTGTGTCACGGAGGAAAGACATGGGTGGCTTCAGTCTCTGCATCTGTTTAACCGTGTGCCTAAATTTATGAAGCGTGATAACACAACACACCCTATAGCTCCTTAATGTGTATTTTGTTCTGAAACTTCAATGTGGTATAGAATTCTTCAATCAGTATGCTAACCTTGGCTTTCCAGATGTTTGTGTACTACACTTCCCATGATGCTCAGCTATGTAGTTTAGCAAATGAATTAGATGTTGATGTTAGCTACCTTCAACTTTTAAAATTATTGACAGTGACCATAAAGCTTTACATATATAATCGATATCTACTAGACCTACAATTGAGATTGAATTCTGGTGATACATATAGATATTGGAGACCTCCAACAGTTGTAATCACTACTGTGATAGGAGTGTGAAATGTCTCTAGACAATATGCTAATTTGTACAATTTCATTAGTTATTTAGAAAAAAAGGTCCTGAACATGGAAGACAAGCACACAGCACAACTCCAGTCGATGAAAGAAGAAAAGGATAAACTCCAGGTCCTGGTGCTCAAGCAAAATACTATTATAGAGGAGCTAGAGAAGCAGCTAATTACCGCTTCGGCAAATAACTCGTTCCTCCAAAAACAGCAGCATGATTTGATGGAGACTGTACATAATCTGTTGACAAGGATGTCACCACATGATGGTAGGTATTAATAAAGGCCTTGTCTAAGACATTGGCAGGCCACCTCTAACAACCAAAATACTACAATTTACAATTTAGGGTTATTATGATACTTAGTTGAACAACATTGAATGGTACCTTCTGACAACCTGTCTTTAGTGGAGCAATACGTGCTAGACGTTTACATGGTGTTTTATGATATGTAAGAAGATGGCTAATGGTCTAGGATGACATACATTCTTTAATCAAGTTGTTGGAATATAATTGTACAATCTGTTGTAGCTCATGAGTGTCCCAATTTGGCTCGCAAACTGTTGGACACTCCTGAGCAACAACAGTGTAGGTATTAACGCTACAAGATCCAAAGAGTGAGCAATGCATTGCATTCTGTAGAAGCATCTCGTTCCCATTGTGCACGTGAAAGATTAATAGCATATGTCACATATAGTAAAATACGTTTTAGATGTTTTATGTCTACTCTGAGAAAAGCTTTGTTTTTATGATTGTTTCACTATAGCAAAGCGCCTGATGGAAAAAGCTGTAGAAAATATTAAAATTAATGCACTGGTGAAAACAAAGTTTTGGACGGAGCTGTTGTATTTTTCTGGATGAGTACCAAGCAAGATTAGCTTAGCAGAATAACAAAACTATTATTTCAAGTGTTCTTAAACTTTCCTTGGATCAGAAACCTTAGAACATAATAATTACCAGAGAGATATGGAGTATTTAATTTTAGAAATTGACATTGTGCCCCAAAAGATATCGGTAATTATATAAAAGTGAAAAAAAAAAAAGCCAGAGGAAAAGAAAATATTAATAAAATGCAGAGGGAAATTTCAAAACATTCTAGATGCCAAAACAGCAGGAAACAGTCTCTCTCTCTCTTTACCACCTATATGGATAGAGCAGCATAACGTCCAGTACAATATGTGAGGTCTGCCAATGTTTACGCTGCCATTTTCATTGCTGCCCCATTCTTAGCTTGCTACAAATAGGACTTGATTTTACTCATACTTACACTGATTAGCCACAATAATAAAACCACCTGCTTCATATTGTGTAGGTCCCCCTCGAACTGCCAGAACAGCTCTGATGGATTGAAGCATAGGCTCCACAAGACTTTTAAATATGTCCTGTGGTTTCTGGCACCCAAACATTAGCAGCAGATCCTTTAAGTTGCAAGTTGCAAGGTGGGTCCTGCAAGGATCGGATTTGTTGTTCTAGCACTTCCCACCAATGCTGTTGTATTGAGATCTGGGGAATTTTTGCATTGTGGCAGGGTGCTTTATCCTGCTGATAGAGACTTCTCATCAGGGAACACCCTTGTCAGGAAGGGTGTACAGTCTTCTGTTGCAATCTCTAGGTAAGTGGTATGTGTCAAAGTAACATCCACATGAATGCCAGGCAACAAGATTTCCCAACAAAACATTGTCGAGATCATAACACTGCCTCCGCTGGCCTGCCTTCTTCCCATAGTGCATCCTGCTTCCATCTCTTTCCTAGGTAATCGACAAACACGCACCCAGCCATCCACCTGAACTGAGAGAAAACATGATTCATCAGACCAGGCAACCTTCTTTCATTGCTCCATGGATCAGTTCTGATGCTCAAGTCCCCACTGAAGGCACTTTAGGTGGTAGGCAGGGGTCATCATTGGCACTCTGACCAGTCTGCAGCTAAGCAGCCTTATACTTGGCAAAATATGATGCACTTTGTGTTCTGACACCTTTCTATCATGGCCAGCATTAAGTTGTCTTTTAGCTATTTGAGCTACAGTAGCTCTTCTGTTTAATTGGACCAGATGGACTAGCCTTTGCTCCCCGTGCATCAATGAGCCTTGACCCTGACACTGGTTCCCTGATTTTCCTTCCTTGCACCACTTTTGGTAGGTACTAACCACTGCACACCATGAACACCCCACAAGACTTGCCATATTGGAGATGCTCTGATGCAGTCGTCTAGCCATCACTATTTGTCAAAGTCTCTCAGATCTTTCCGCGTGCCCATTTTTCCTGCTTTCAACACATTAAACTGACTGTTCATTTGCAGCTTAATATATCCCACCCCTTGGCAGATGACATTATAACAATATAATCAATGTTAACTTCACATGTCTGTAGTTTTAATGTTGTGGCAGTGTACGGCCTTCGCAACATATGTACAGCATCCAGTGATAGGAAACAGCCCTACTTGTACTTATTATCACTTATGATCTACAATCCAATTTCTATAAGTTGGCTGTTAAATGGACAACAATCAATAATCTGCTTTTCTAGAAGACATTTAATTTCTAAAGTCAGATAACATATTTGCCTTCAGAGGTCAACAACAGCATAGTTGATTGATCATTTTTCCAAATATACTTTAATATACTATAAAATCTGTCAACAGTATCATAGTATCTTTTTCATATCTAAAGTTTCACTTGATATTTCCAAAACTATTGATATATGCTACACTGTACAATCAGCAAATTAAACAAAAAACTTAAAGGGCACTATTTTCAACAGCTTAGTGTTAAAAGCATGGTCTAAAAGTATATTTTAAATCAGTGCATGTAGATCATGGATGTCCAAAATAAATATTTTATATTGGATTAACATATTACAAAGACAAACACTGATCCCCTCACTTGTGATAGCATAACATTATACAGAGTGGATAGTGAGTTTATCCATGTACACTCACGGTAAAATTAGGTTTTAAAAAGGAGTTGATAAAGATCTGCCCAGCAACAAACTACAGTGATATTTATAGATGGAGAAAAAATTAAAGCCCTGTATCCTACTTTGTGAGACCAAGAAGTCTGATACTGTTACTATAGCAAACTATCAACTATGTATAATTATGGTACTTAGTGAATAGAAAATAAACAGTGTTTGCAGTGCTTTGCTTGAAACTCTACCACATACTAACTATTTTAAATTGTACTTTAAACATTTCCCAGACTGTTGGCCAGTGAGTGAAAGTCACTAGACAATTAATAAACCCATTACAAAGTTCAATAACAAGAAATGCATAAAAATAATTATTGAAAATGGCACAACACATCTGTTTGTCAGATATTAAAGTGTCACATATTGGAGAGTTCCACTATCGTGCAAGAAACATTGGTCTGTATTAAATTTTAGCACAGGTTCTAGTGGTTCTTGGATCAAGTGCCAAATTCGGGTCCCCATGTATTTGCAATAGGTCCCTAACAGCCATTATTTAAATACTGTTGCAGCATTGCCTTCTCCAATGCTAAAAACGCACAATGACATTTGTTATACATATATTACACTATAGCTGTAGAAAGAATCAGCGAGGTAACCTTAAAATCAAACAATTATCAATTTAATTTCATGTACATAATGTGGGTTGGTGTGTAACATGAAAAACTAGTGCTGTATAGAGGTACTACTACTCTGGCTACACTTGTGCTATAGTATATACATTTTACTACATCATTTGGAGTTGAGTCCTACAGTATGCACCAGAAAGCACTGCTTGAGGTGCATTTCAATCGCATAAAGTTTGTCATTTGAAGACTGATATTTTATGTCCATTTCTGGCCCATATCTTTGAATATGAAAGCAGTGCAGGACATTATTACTACCATACAATAATACTAATAGCACAGACAGACGGCTAAAACAAAACATAGAAATGTTTAAATTAATTGAAATGATCTTGTTATGTGGCATTACTAAACACCAATGTTATCATAAATGTCTGTTTCTAGCACCCAGAGCCTCATTCGTAGTAAAAGAAGAGCAAATAACATTTAAAGACTGTGCTGAAGCCTATAAATCAGGACTAACTACGAGCGGTATCTACACCATAACTGTGCCTAATACCACAGAGCAGGTCAAGGTAAGAGCATACAGAAAATACTTACAGTGAATGACAAAAAAAAAGCTTGGTCACAATTACAGCTTAAACTTTGGTCACCATAAAATCTGCCTTAAACACCTATCAGATGACAACTGGAAACAGGTCATCTAATGGCAATACACAGCTGGGAATGGCTAACACAATTAGTGCCATTACACTGAGAACATAGAGTGCTTTTATTACAATTGTGCCCAATATATCCCCACATGGACCACCCATCTCTTGCACATGCTCTGTTCAAATATTTACTAAATTCCTTAAACAGATCTAAAACAGACATCTAAAATAATATGTAATATTGTTTGCTCTCCATAATATGTACATGGTCTATATTGGTGGTGAGACATACCTCCCATTCCACTCAAGTAATGAGATCTGTCTTGGCTTAGTCTTAAGAGGTAGCAACGTCGTATATACTCTAAGGTCTCTAACACGTAGTTCAAGATAAAGATATCTGGATCACTGGATTTTCTGATTGATTGTCAGTATGACCATTATGTTTAACACATGATATATTGGACAAGAATTTGGCCAAGGACTTCCTTTAAAAGGACTGCCTGATACACAGAGGGTATTGGGAATGACTAGACTAAATAATGGGACAACCTTAAGGGTAATGCCAAGAAAATATAGCAACTACAACAACAAATCTTAAGAGTGCAAAATAACAGCTATATTAAACATTAGATTATATTTGGCCAAAAAGAATAGGCTGTTCAGAGATGTCTTGATGCTGCTTGGACAGTCTGTTCTTATATTTATATAGTGGGTTTTCTTGGACGCCTATTAACAAAATTAACAAGCAATTATATAACTGATATAAATTGACTGTATTTAAAATCAGTGAACAAAGGCATTATTAAGCGCAACCAAATTAAAAAATAAGCACATTTCTTTTTTTGTTAGGAATAAAAAGCCTTTAATTAAGATATCATGTATTGGCACTACTTAGATTATAGTCAGAATTGTAATGTTGATCAAGCTTGAGTGGCTGACACTTTGTATGAGTAATAGTAACAGAGCACTACCATTTTCCCAGTCAAGTTTTATTTTAAATAATGAATTCTATCCATAGTGCAGAGAATAATTTGTACCATGGTCAGTGCATTAAATTTAACCTGTCTTCAAAATGAATTATCTGCACAGTGCATACTGAATAACTTTGATGGGGTGGAGGATTTAATGCATAGCATAGATGGCCAGCCTTTTCTAAGAGACGAAGTGAAGCCTGTGTGCAAACTGTATGTGTTCTTGCTTGAGCTGAGCATTACTCACTAAAACATTGCCAGCTATGTGCATGGAGCACATCTGTTTATCCAATCCACTTCCTGTTTATCCAATCCCCACAAACTGGACTTGGTAACCACACGATCACACAACAGGCAATCATAAGTCACATAGCTATGATTACAGATATGATTGGCCCAGAAGTATTGCTAGTGTGTCCAAAATACATCTGCAGGGTGTGTTGGCTTACAATGATCAAATGCACTCACGTTACGTTCTGGTGGATCACATCTGATGCTATGACCCTTATCTTTCTTGTAAGTAAATGCGTAAATCTTTATTATCTGTGGAGACTCTACTATTGCTGATGTCCTCATGACAGATGGTTTATTGTAGTTCTGGTGATTAGAGCATTGTAGCATTGAAGCCCTTTATTTATTAAGCTCTGAAGGACTGACATTTTTTACTTGTTTATTTTTATGATGTTCTTCATGCATGCAGTGAACAACTAGTCTAGCCAGACATATGGGAGCCGGGTGCCCGTCCTATAATCTGCCAGTTACCTCTTCATTCCAGAGGAAACCACAACAACTAGTTCCTATTAGTAACCTAAAGAGAATCAAAAGAGGAAAGCGTATTTGGCCTGCAGCAGTTTAATATATAATCTGGGGCTAGCTTTATTGCTATGCATCTGTAAGTCATTTAACACCTTGGCTGCTCTAGGGTTTTAAGAAAATTGGCAAGTGATTGATTTTGTTTCTTTCAACAACGTCTATAATTAATGTATGTTGTGTTGTTTTGTATACCTGATTACAGTACTATATGATTTCCCCATGTCAAATCACTGACAAGTGAGATATTGCTTTAACAGGCTGCATGTAAATTGCAGAACTACGGTAATTGAATTACTTCTTTTGAATAGCAAAAGGGCAGTGCATTTCGAGTTTCTCATGCAAACTCTTTTTAATAGCTCTTGTGAATTGTGTTTTAGTGACTCCTGGGAATCACAATATGGCATGTACAACATGACCACTCAAATCCTAAATGAAATTATGTGGAAACATGTTCTGCAACCATTTAATACATCACGTTCTGCTAACATCAGGTTTTTACCGACAAGTAGCTCTGAAGTAAATATTTGTGATCAAATACTATTTATATATACAATGTAGTGTGTTGACGTAACACTTGTCAAGGCTAATATATACTGCTCAAAAAAATAAAGGGAACACAAAAAATAACACATCCTAGATCTGCATGAATTAAATATTCTTCTGGAATACTTTGTTCTTTACATAGTTGAATGTGCTGACAACAAAATCACACAAAAATTAAAAAATGGAAATCTAATTTTTCAACCCATGGAGGTCTGGATTTGGAGTCACACTCAAAATTAAAGTGGAAAAACACACTACAGGCTGATCTAACTTTTATGTAATGTCAGAAGACAGACAAAGAAAAGTCAAAGGAACAAGCCCGGGTCAAGAAACACAGAATGCTGGGACAACGATAAGCAGGTCAAGTCAGTAACCAAAACAATTACTCGGAATAATGAATACACTTTCAGATACTAGAAATCACAGTAGGGCAAAATACCTTAAAATTGATTTTCCTTGGTCTGTGCCAAATTGACGCAAGAACTTATGCGACCTATGTCGACAAAATAATGCAGATGGCAGGGGCTCAAAAAAACAATGTAGGTTGGACTGGTCATAAATGGATGCAGGAATGGCGTGGTCCGCGTCAAAATCTATTCCAGAATGACATAACTTTCCTTGGTGAAACATATTTGTGAACTACACTCCCTCAATCCATAAATCATTCCCCAGCTGTCAGGATCCGGTTTGAAACCAAGCCTCCCCTGCAATTTTCCAGTTTTAGGTATGTGAGTGCACACACCATGCAAGACATTTGCGCACATGTGAACACACAGATACACAAATATGCACACTCAAACATGTGCACAGGCACTCAAACTTTCTCATGACTATTCACATGGAGGGCTTCCATTATGCTGAGCACTTCGATCACATGGTAGACAGTGGCGCACCCACTTTTTGAATGTAACTATAGTTTATGTGAACTCCAAACCTTTCATTGGTAGTTGCCCATCTACTTCACTAAGACTGTCCTCTTCTTTCACATATCTGAAAGGAGTTCCTAGCTACAGTTATATCTACATGTATTATTATGATTGCCATTTATATAACACCAACAGATTCCGTAGCGCTTTACAATATTATAAGAGGGGGGATTTATCTATAAATAGGACAATTACAAGAAAACTTACAGGATAGATAGGTTGAAGAGGACCCTGCTCAAATGAGCTTACAGTCTACAGGAGATGGGGTGTAAAACATGATAGGACAGGAAATAGCAATCAAATAAGGTGGGAGTGAAGCAGAGCTGGAGGAGAGAGTAGAGTGCTGCCCTTTAGGAGAGAGCAAGAGACAGGTTTGTGAGGTAGCAGTTACTCTGGGAGGCCTTAAGCTTTCCTAAAGAGATGGGTTTTAAGGCACTTCTTAAATGATCAAAGACTAGGGGAGAGTCTGATGGCAGTAGGCAGACTATTCCATAGGAATTCCCGCGAGAAGTCCTGCGTGCGCGAGTTGGCCATACGGGTGCAAGCAGCAGACAGGAGGTCATGAGCAGAATAGAGAGACCGAGAAGGGGCATATCTATGGACCTGTTAAGTGATATAAGAGGGGCTAGATGTGATCAGTGCTTTATAGGAATTGACTCCTACAGGATACAGGAAGCTATAAGATGTAAGGACTGACAGAGGGGTGAGGTGTGAGAGGACAGACTAGAGAGGAAAATCAGTCTGGCAGCAGCATTCATTATAGACTGTAGCGGGTACTGGGGTCAATATTAGGAGGAGGAAAGACAAGGAGCTCAGTTTCAAAAAGTCTGAGGACATCCAGTAAGAGATGGAAGAAAGACAAGCAGTGACACGTTGCAGGACGGCAAGGGAGAGGCATGGGGAGGAGAGATATAGCTGGGTGTCATCAGCATACAGGTGGTAGTGGAATCCAAATGAGGTATTATTATTATTATGATATTTATAGAGCGCCGTCAAATTCCGCAGCGCTTTACAATGGGTGGACGAACAGACATGTAGTTGTAACCAGACAAGTTGGACACACAGGAACAGAGGGGCTGAGGGCCCTGCTCAATGAGCTTACATGCTAGGGGGAGTGGGGTAAAATTACATAAAAAGGTAAGGATAGTATTAGACTAGAGACAGTTGCAGAAGAGGAATCAGTCAGGAGCTATTAACAGTTTAATTGATACGCTTTTATGAAGAAGTGGGTTTTTAACGATTTTTTGAAGGAGTGGAGACTGGGTGAGCATTTAACGGAGGAGGGAAGCGAGTTCCACAGGAACGGTGCAGCCCTCGAGAAATCTTGAAGGCGAGCAGAGGTGGGAGTACGGACAGAAGATAGACGTAAGTCTTCAGCAGATCGTAAGGGCATAGACGGGACATAATTGTGTATAAGGGAGGATAGATAGGTGGGAGCAGCATTATGTAGAGATTTGAAAGCAAGATCCAGAATTTTAAATTGAGCTCTATATTTTATAGGAAGCCAATGTAGGGACTGACAGAAGGGTGAGGCATGGGAGGTGCGGGCAGACAGGAAGATGAGCCTCGCCGCCGCATTCATAATAAGTTTGCCAAGAGAGGCAGTATAAAGAGAAAATAGAAGGGGACCAAGGACAGAGACTTGGGGGACACTAACCAAGACAGGACAAAGGGAGGAGGTATCATTAGAAAAGGAGACACTAAATGAGCGTTGGGAGAGAAGGGGAAACCCAAGAGAGGACAGAGTCACAGAGACCTAGTGATTAAAGAGTTTGAAGAAGGAGAGCACGATCAACGGTGTCAAAGGCAGCAGAGAGGTCAAGAAGAATTAGTATGGAGTAGTGGCCTTTGGATTTAGCTGCGATTAGGTCGTTAGTAAATTTGATAAGAGCAGTCTTAGTAGAGTGGAGGGCAAAGGTAATAACCCTCTATAAGAATTGCACTCTTAGAGTCATTGTTAATATAGACTTTATGGCGTGCATATTTGCGGATTATCAAGTTTTGATATTTGTCTTGCAAGTAGAAAGTAAATTAATTCAAAGACCTGGGCGCTTTCATTCACCAAATTAATTTTAAAGAGGTGATATGAGTTATGTTTTTCTTTCTCTTCAAGTTCAAAAATTGCATGAATTAGTTCAACCTACATTATAAAACATAGGTTCAATCCATACTGATTATTTTCTTTTTTGTTTATCATTTAATGTCTAAGACTAATAGTTATGACCAAAAAAAGCACACATTCAACAAAAGAAGAAAAACAGAAACTGTACTTCTCTTCCAGGAAAATAATCTTACAATATTATGCAATAAATACTCTTTGTACATTTCCAGTAAAAAAAAAAAAAATCATGGAAGAAATTTTAAATCAGGCCAATTACTAGATTACTTAGATATTACTAGGTTACTATTTAATATAATGAAGTATATAATGCAATTTATTGGAATTATCGCTGTCATATTTCGATTTTTTAATAGTAGGAAATGTTTTAATAAAATCATCTTGCACAACTTGGTAATGGGCTCCGCCACTTTATATATTTCATGTGCACTTTATATATCTTATGTAACGCAAAAAGAAAATCAGGAAGGCTTTTTCCAAAAGTTTCTATAAGTCAGGGAGATGACCCAATATTGATTTCAGCATGGAATTGTCTAGGGCAGGCATAGGCAACCTTCAGCACTTCAGATGTTTTGGACTAGCCCTCTCATGATGCTTTGCCGGCATTCTGGGTGTAAGCATTATGGGGAATGTAGTCCATGACATCTGGAGTGCCGAAGGTTGCCTATCCCTGGTCTAGGGGGTATACAAGGAATTTGGCTTTTAAATGACAATGGAATTATAAAGATATTTAAATGTACTAGCATTCACTCATTTGGCTGTTCCATGTAGTGAAGATATAAGTGAAACTATAATAATAACTATAATATTTAAAAATTAAATCTAAGTATGTATAATATATGAGCATTCACAGGACTGTGCCAAAAATATATTCCATAAATAAAGTGTCACATATCATCAACATCAATGTTTTGGAACACACTGGTTATTGGAGATATATATCATCAATTAATCACATTTCATGTTTACAAAAACATTTTGCTATTAAAATAGATGACCAATGCTACACATCTAAACCTGCAAATGGCAACTACGAAGTCCATTGAGAAATAGGTGCCTGTAAATTCATTACAACCTATAGGAATTATCATTAGAATAGGAGAATGATGGCGAGGGATATAAACATTAATTATCTGTCTGTCCTTACAATATATAAAAAAAAGATGTAACTGCCCCTCACCCCTTCCCCCCCCCAAAAAAAAAACCCAACAACTATTAATTGTGATAATTTTTACACCTATAAAACTAGTCTTTATAAATATTTTTATCTGGATCAGTAGACAACAGCCTTATTGGAAGCAGTGTTTACAACCATCATTGCAGCATTGTGTGTTTGGAACAAGTTTCAGGAATGCTACTTTAGCTATTTAAACCGGAGATCCTGTTATTCCTCTCTGTTTTCCATTGTTTAGAATTATTCGGCTTGCGTCTATGAGATGCTACCCAACAAGAACCTGAGTTTATTCCAGCTTTCACACTTGTTTTTTCCTAACTAGCTATATGGCTTCCTAAGTACCATGCCCCATGAACTGTAAGGCCATGGTAAAAGGGAAGTGCAAGAGCATTCTTTATTTGGTCCATACGAGGTGAAAACAACCACCTTATAAAATGCAAAACATATGGAAAAAAACACAAGAGCTGCTTCTAGTTGGTTACTTTGCAAAACAACTGAAATCAGATCATCAAACCCCATTCAAGTTATTAAAAGCCTAGTATAAATGAAAGAATGGAAAATATTTGGCATGGACAATATACCTGAAGTAAAACTTAACCCACTGCAAGGTTTTTGCAATTTACCCTTCGAGAATTCTCTAGAAAGATCATTTAAAGGATTTCATACTTATTACAAAACATTTTGTCTTCTTAATTTGGTTCCTGTCTTTGGAGGGACCAGAAACCACCATATGCTAGGTTTATTACTACTGTTGCCTCTTGGATTAAAAGCACACAGTTATTTATTTATATGCTGTTGCAGGAGGACCACACATGAACATCAAGTGACCACAAATAAACATGTACAATAAGTTTTGGCTGCACACTAGTGACGCTCTTGAAACCCTGGATTAAAAGGGGGTACCTCGGTGTTAGTCTAACGTCTGTAATATCATGCATGCAGCTACAACAGATGGTTTGCATGTTTTATTAAAAAAAAAAAAAGAAAAAGAAAAAAAAAAGAAAATATCAATACTATTTTGGAACTATACCTAAATATACCAGCTGTAGCTCTGATACAGAATGCACAACAACCACTCCACTTTGAAATTACTCAGCTATCTACTTTTTGTAATGTATGCAGATCCGAGGCAACTTTTTAATACAATAAAATGCTTTTAAACATATATTTTTGTAAGTGTGAATAGCATTGCTATAGAACACTCAAATGCGATTTACTGAAACGATTATTCTTATGACATGATCCCCTGCTTTTGTTTAACAGACTTTCTGTGACATGAAAACAGATGGTGGTGGCTGGACTATTATTCAGAACCGTTTTGATGGTAGTGTTGACTTTCACAGAACATGGAAAGAGTACAAAAAGGTAAAAAATTATATATACATATATATAGACACTATATGATGTGACTGAAGTAATGGCAGCAGACTGTTCCCACCAATCTTAGGCAAACCAAGACATGTACGCCCCCCAGTTAAATGATAGCTAGTCCTAAGAAAATCAGGCTAAAAGATTCATAAGTGTAAATTGAGAAAATGTGGTTATGGAAAAATAATTCTATTTCCGTGTTCTAGAAACATTTAGAAACCAATTGACATTTGTTATCATGGTTTAAAAACACGTCTTGAGAAATCCGTTATGACATTATTATCCTCTAACAAATACTTAAATTATATGAAGTAGAATTTATTATATTGTACCATATAAAACATGTTCTAATTAATCTAAATACTCACTGACAGTGTTAAACGAAAAATGTTTGTCTTATCAAGTTTAGATCTGTTCCAGAAATCCATTAATTTAAATCTCGCTTACTCAGTGTTTGAGAACACACTGCATTGTGTGAATTTAAAACGAAAGTTGTTAAAGGTACACTTAAAACTAACCATTATAACCCCCTGCAGACGTTATGGTGCCACAAGTGCCCTGTTCCTGTCTCAGTGCAATCTGTCAAATCATTTAAGCACAGTTTGACACTTACCTGGGACTGACTAAATGCCCATGTTACATTCGTCCTGCTCGTGTATGAGATGTAGATGTTCATTCATTGGCTGAGTGCATCGTCTTAGTGCTCTCAGTCAATGAATGAGTTCAACAAATAGCTGTATTGAGCAAACTAACATATAGTTTCTTTAGTTCTGAGAAGACCGGATGCAGCAAGCATGCTCAGCAGGAACCAGCTTAAGGCAGGGACACTGCCAGCCTGCTGTACTAGCCGTCACGCTACGAGTGTTCCATTAACAAATATGTAGATGACAAAGTCATGCTGTTTTTTTAACATTTAAATATACTCATGATGGAGAAATATAAATGTATAGCTTAAACTCTGTGCATAACTAAGGACTGCTTCTAGCTCCTCCAAACGCTGGCTGCAATTGGACGGCTTGGCTGCCCATGCATGAACTATATGTAATCTTTACTGCTATAGTGACAGCATATCAAAGGTGAAAAAAATCATTGAAAAATCAATGCATTTCACAGCAGTTCAGCAAGCACAATGTATTCATGTGATTTTATTTTTTTATATAGTATCACCTTACTACTGTGTTTGTCATGATGTTTATTTAAACATGCAATTTAAGAAATGTAATCTAACCATGTAAGGAGGCGTTTGCTTTCATTTAATTAAAGGGACACTATAGGGACAGGAACACAAACATGTATTCCTGACCCTATAGTGTTTAAACCACCATCTACCCCACCTGCCTCCCTAAATATAGTAAAATTTTATTTGTATTCAAGTCTGCAGCTGCTGGCTCTGTCCCTGTCTGCCTCTAACCTGCCCACTGTCTGCTGACATCATCAGAAGTGGCAGTCTGAGCCAATTACAATGCTTTCCCATAGGCTGAGACTGTCAATGAGCAGAGCCAGCAAACGTCAAACAGCCCTGGCCAATCAGCATCTCAGTGTCTGCATGCAGAGGGTGGAGACACTGAATGGCAGTGTTGCTCACTGTGGAGCACTGCCCCAGGAAGCACCTCTAGCAGCCATCTGAAGTAGGGCCAGTAGAGTTATCACTAGGCTGTAATGTAAACACTGCATTTTCACTAAAAAGACAGTGTTTACATCAAAACGCCTGAAGGGAATGATTCTACTCACCAGAACAAATACAATAAGCTGTAGTTGTTCTGGTGACTATAGCGTCCCTTTAAAGGTTACAACTATGGCTCACAGAAAGAAAATGTATGAAAGAAGCTCACAGTAATTTATATATGTTTTTAGACCACAGTAATAACTAATGTTACAGTCTTTCTGCAGAAAAATAATAATGGAATGTATTATACTGTCATCAACATTTCAGCCTGAATTTATATTTTGTAAAGTCAATTTTAATTAATTGTTAAAGGAAAACAGTGATCTTTGAAGACTTTTGTGCAAAGGTCACTTTAAACCTTATAATTATCAATGAAGTTGAAATCGAGCCAGTGTAGCTGACAGTGTTTATCCATGGAGGGATGAAAAATTTAGTATTTATTGTCAAGTGTTTGACTTTCTTTTTGCAAGTTTGCAAGATCATTATGTCTCCACATCTGTCTTTTCTTTGCAGTATCAATGTTATGTTTATTCTGGCTTTGTTCCACAACTATAATCTTTTAATGCCAGCATCTTCACTAAATTCGTGCTTCTCGCAAAATGTGTAGAATTTTTTAAATCCTTCTGCATACGTGCACAGTGAGCCGTTTTAATAGAACAGCTGTTAACAGAAGAAAAGGGTTCAATGATAGAAATGGTTGCACTGCACTTCTAAATGCTCCTAAAGCTAAGCATATTCCCTTTTGATGTATAGGGATTTGGTGAAGCTTCAGGAGAATACTGGCTGGGAAATGAAATTGTGTCCCAGCTGACAAACCTACAGAAATATGTTCTGAAAATCCAATTGAAAGACTGGGAAGGAAATGAAGCATTTTCCTTATATGAACACTTCTACCTGGGAAACGAAGTGCAAAAGTACAGGTATGTGACATGAGTTTATTTCAGTAAATCTCGAGACCCTCTTCAATGTAGGTCCTAGTCAGAAGAACCTATCTACTTGACCAGCATGTGTATTGACAAACATGTAGCTTTTAATTATTACTGTGGACTTGACAGCTGATCTCTGCAGGACTTCTGGGCTGTTTTGACCCGGCCATGTTCATTGTTAAATTTCACACAGTTGATGGGCTCAGTTAAACATGGTGGAACCTTGCAGCTGCAGTTTAAGAGCTGTGCTATCATATGACTGTCCAATTGGCGTCTCTGTGTGACAGAACACAATGGGACTTTCAGAACCAAAATAAACGCTGAATTGAGCTTTGAGCAATAGAGAAATAATTGTGTAAATTTGTATTTGTTAAACTTTGCTTCACTTAATCTGAGCTGTCCATATTTTAGCTATGCTATTTAAAAAATAGGTAACAATGAATGTAAATCAGGATACCATATCCACCATGTTTCCCAGGACACACATAATTAATACAAATATATATATAAATTCTACATAATACAGGGCGGCATTTTCACACAGGAAAACATGAAAGATATGGCAACCCTACATATACATTCATCTCTTGGATCCTGGAGGATTTTCTTTCAAGACTGTGGTATAATCAGAATTAGAACAATCGCAGTAATCATTGAGCAATGATGTTTAGAAGTGTTAATTTGGGTTATTTTATATAGAAATCTACTGATGCACACATTTCAAAACTAATATACAGTTTTGCTCAAAAGTTTGCATACCCTTAGAGAATTTGTAATATATGTACCATTTTTTAAGAAAACATGAGAGAGCAGGCAAAACATTTATTTCTTATGGGATTCATATTCAACTGTAGGTTATAACAGAATGGCACAATCATAAAACAAAACATGTCAACAAAGAAAAAAATGAAATGACACCTGTTCAAAAGTCTGCATACCCTTAGTTCTGAATATTGTTTATTGCCCCCTTTAGCATCAATTACAGCGTGCAGTCTTTTGTAATAGTTGTCTATGAGGCCCCTAATTCTTGCAGGTTGTATAGCTGCCTATTCGTCTAGGCAAAATGCCTCCAGGTCATGCAAAGTCTTTGGTCGTCCTACATGAACCGCACATTCAAGATCTCCCCAGAGTGGCTCAATGATATTAAGGTCAGGAGACTGTGATGGCCACTCCAGAACCTTCACCTTTTTCTGCTGTAACCACTGTCAACTTGGCCTTGTGCGTCGGGGCCAGTGTCATGCTGGAAAGTCCAAGAGCTTCCCATGCGCAGCCTTCGTGCAGAAGAATGCAAATAGTCTGCCAGTTTTTTTCTGACAAATTGCTGCATTCATCTTGCCATCAATTTTTTACAAGATTCCCCGTGCCTTTAGAGCTCACAGTGGGGATGGTATTTTCACCATAACCTTGTTGACCCCTCTCCAAACATAGCGCTTATGGTTGTGACCATAAAACTGTATTTTGGTCTGGATGATCAGTCATATTTTTAAAATCAATGCCAACATTTCACAATTTCTGCCAGGGTATGCCAACTTGTGAGCACAACTGTAGAGATTTTCTCTTAAATATGCCTAACTTGCACCTAAATCCTTTAATCCTTGCTTTTCCTTCATATTAAAGATAGGCGATATGTCACATTGAAATTAAAAAGCTTGCCGCTTAAAATAGGATTTGACAAAGCATCAAAACTCATTCTGTGTTCAGAATATTTGGTTTTAAATATTATAGGTATAATAATACTACTACTTACATGTTCTACGAATAATACACTATATGTGGTCACTCATGCTTGCAGATATAACAATTTGTAATTATTATTAAAATGGCTTAATATGTAGTGTGACGTAGCGCAGTTCAGGAAACCAACTCTGCCTAGATTTTCCGGGATTGATAAATTGTATACCATTATTTTAGATAATTGTAACATCTTCATTAACTGCCAGTACATTTATATTCGAAAGCAAGTTCAACAAAAGGAAAAGCTCTCTGTAAATTATAAAAGCTGAAATAAACTTCTTAAAATAAATGTATAGGTTTTTATTGGATGGAGGATAAAGTGAATTTATATATCTCACAATGAAATCACCAGAGCGGTAATTAACATTTCTATTATTGACTATTTTGTTTCCATACTGGGTATTTACCTACAAATTGACTATGCAAGTCAAATTTATATAATTACAAATTGTTCTACTTCACCCTAGGAAATCACAACAAAATGTGACTGTCTCCATTCCAAACTAAACATATTTTATTCATTTGGCATGAGTTATAACAATTTATTTTTAAGCAATACTTTCAAATTCTTATAAAAGCAAAAGGACACTACAGGGCCATTTACCAGCACAGTTCAAGAGTAAATACCACAGATTAAGAAGCTAAGACGGCATTTCCTCTTGGAAAAAAAGAAAAAGCAAATGTTTGGTGCATCATAAAAAAATGTATAAATAGCTACGAATTTATCTTTGTGACAACTGGCTTGCATTAATTCATATGTGCATGTAACCCTGTGAGGAAAATCACACGGTATGGGTTAAAAATTACAGTCTAAGCTTAAATAATGAAAAGTCTCAATACCAAAAACTACACTATATTTAGTGTTAGGGAATTTATGAGACTTGGATTGTATCATTTTTGGTTCTATTTGAATGGTGATATTAATGTATAAACACAACAGGAAATTCAAATTAGATGTACTTAATATAATATGGATTAGCCAAATATAACGGGAAACGTAAATTAAAGGGACACTATAGTCACCAGAACAACTAGAGCATATTGTATTTGTTCTGATGATTCTGGGGAACTCTCCTCCCTCTTCCGACGTCAGTGCTGAATGCGCAAGAGCCGCGAGCGCATTCAGTCATTCCATAGGAAAAGCATTTCTCAATGCTTTCCTATGCACGTCAGCGTCTTCTCACTGTGATTTTCACAGTGAGAAGTGCGGAAGCGCCTCTAGCGGCTGTCAATGAAACAGTCACTAGAGGCTGGATTAACCCTATTGTAAACATAGCAGTTTCTCTGAAACTGCTATGTTTACAGCTGCAGGGTTAACCCTAGATGGACCTGGCATCCAGACCCCTTCATTGAGCTGAAGTGGTCTGGGTGCTTATAGTGGTCCTTTAAGTGTAGAAATTTTTATATAGAAATGAGGATTCTATGTTACTATCAATAGACGTATTGTGCAGCAAAATAAACTGTAAGTGAAGCACCTGTTGCCTATAACTCCTGTGAGAATGTTTCCCTCTGTGGTTATAGAGGGTGCCACAATGCACATAAGTACTTGCAGAAAATGGTTTCAATATAAGCAGGCTAGTTTTATCTTCCCTCACGGATGGTTCTATTTTACAGGACAGTTATTGTAATCCACTCTGTTCTAAATAATGCAGGGTGCACAAGTGATTTAAGAGTTGTTATAACACAGATTGTCACATTAAAATTAAAAATTTGAATGGAATAAAAAAATAGAATGTAAAGAGGGAATAAAATAGATAATAATAATGAAAAGAAGTCATATGGCGAACCAGGAATTTACAGTTGGAAATAAAACACTGCAATTCACATGACATGAGAAATTTCCACAAATGCAAATCAACAGCTTCTGTCTCATACTGTCTTTCCATTTACAACAGGATTCAACTCAAAGGATACACGGGGACAGCGGGCAAAATAAATAGCATAAGCCAACCAGGAAATGATTTTAGTACAAAGGATGCAGACAATGACAAGTGCATTTGCAAATGCTCACAAATGGCAACAGGAGGTAGGAACTGTTTTCTATCATAATTTTCCTATTTTTACTGGCACCTGTATGCAGTCTTATTAATTTAACCTTTTCCATTGCTAACCATGAGGCATACCTAATATTTAGTCCCAGAATATGAGCATATTTCTCTTGATTCCGACATGATAACTAGTAACATTTACTTGATGATGGTTTATATTTAATATAATAGACAGTGCTTCTTAAAGTAAGGACTTTGCCATGTTCAATGTTTATCATGTCAAAATAGATAGTAATTTCAGATTTCGCATTCTCAACAGGTAGAACCATTGGGGAGCTTTAAGGAGATACAGTCATCAGTTTTGGTACATTTTCCTCTTACCTCACCTGCCAATGAAGAGTTTACTAGGGCGGGAGTGTAATTAAAAAAATATTCACAGAACTATGAAAATGTTTCATTTTGAAGTTTCTGCAAATTCTAATCATAAAATGTAATAATATATTATAATATTTAATCATACACTGATCAGCCACAACATTAAAACCACCTGCCCAATATAATGTAGGTCCCGTTTGTGCAGCCAAAACAGCTATGATGTGTCGATATGGGCTTCATAAGACCTCTGAATATGTCCTGTGTTCACATTAAACACAGGACATGTTCACCTTGAACTCTTTGTCATGTACCTCAAACCATTCCTGAACAATTTTTGCAGTGTGTCAAGGTGCATTATCCCGCTGAAAGAGGCCACTGCCATCAGGGATCACCCCTGTCATGAAGGGGTGTACGTGGTCTGCAACAATCTCTAAATACGTGTCAAACTAAGAACACGCACCCAGCCATTCATCTTATCTAATAGAAAATGTGATTCATCAGATCATGCAACCTTCTTCCATTGCTCCATGGTCCAGTTCTGATGCTCACGTCCCCATTGAAGTTGCTAATGGCCGTGATCAGTGATCATTATGGGCAGTCTGACCGGTCCGAGGCAACGCAGCAAACCGGGATGCACTGTGTGTTCTGACATCTTTCTATCATGGCAAGAATTATATTTTTCAGCAATTTGAGCTACAGTAGCTCTTCTGTGTGATCAGAGAAGACAGGCTAGCCTTTACTACCCATGTGCATGAATGAGTCCGAGGCTTGCAAGACTCTGATGGCAGTTCACTGGTTGTCCTTTCTAGCACCACGTTTGGTAGGTACTATCGGCTGAATACTGGGAAAAATCCACGAGACGTGCCATTTTGGAGATGCTATGAACCAGTCTTCTAGCCATCACTAATTGGCCCTTGTGAAAGTCACTCAGATCTTTTAGCTTGTCCATTTTCCCTGCTTCCAACACATGAAATACAAGAATTGACTGTTCACTTCTGCCGAATATATCTTACTTTACCGGTCAGTAGTTTTAATGTTGTAGCTGATCTATATATATATATCAGCCACAACATTAAAAACCACTGACAGGTGAAGTGAGATATACCGTATGTTTGCTCATATTTAGCAATGGTACCAATTTTAGTACAGGACACAGTCTCCTTATAAAAATGGATGAGCAGTGTGTGTGTGTATTATGCTGTACTGCTCATCCATTTTTTAAAAAATGTTTTGAAGGCTACAACAAATCGGCAGATTCTTGTTAAGTAATAGTGTAATAATTATCAGGCTAACCATGTGGATATAAAACACATTTGATGCATTTTGCAGCAAATACATGGATAATGATTACATTCTTCTCATAATTAGTGAAAACATTTTCATTTTCTTTGATTACAGGCTGGTGGTTTGATGCCTGTGGTCCGTCCAACCTGAATGGGATGTACTATTCATTGGGTCAGAACACAAACAAATTTAATGGAATCAAATGGTACTACTGGAAAGGCTCGGGCTACTCTCTAAAGGCAACAACAATGATGATTCGACCTGCTGACTTTTAAGCAACATTTTACAACAGGATGTTGCTTTGTATTGTACATTAAGCAAAGACAGTTCGCCAAAACCTTATGGAAATGTCACAGCTGCAATCTTGTGTTTTAAGCTCCTGGTGGACACTGTGCACCAATACAGTGGATTAAATTGTATTAATGACAAAGTCTCCAGAGATACTTTGGGTTAAATAACGTAATTACAAGAATGAATAAAAACACTATTTAGTGTTTTCAAACCAGTCAACTGCAGTATTTTATTCAATCGCCTCTGACTGGCATGTAAATAACTGGAACTGTAAACTAAACACAGAACAACTTGTGCAGAATTTAACATGCAGTCTTTAGGGCAGCCTACCTGCAAACCACTTTGTATTATGTTTTGTATTATGTGGTGTACATACAATTGTAAATTAACTGTATACTGTATTTTTTTCTGCTGTGTTACACACACAATTTAGAGGGTGCCAAATTATATCCTTTAACTGTTTTTTTATCGTTCTCTATGACACTATATCATCTAATGAAGAAAACCGCATATTACACCAGCTATTTCTCGAACCACTTATTATTGCCTACAGGAGCAATGTTTGCTGCACATCTGTTAGATGCTCAAGCGTTTCAGATTAGCGTATGTGGTTGTTTTAAGGCTAAATGGAAACATTTAGGATTTTCATTTTTTTTAATTTTTTTTTTTTTTACACATTGTCTTGGACTTCAACGTTTTAAGATTTAAATTTTTTTTTATTTTTTTTTTAAACCAAACAACATCTTTCAATTCTTAAGACTGCACTTTTTTTCTACAGTAGCTGGTCTATGCATGACAATAATAATGCAACTGATTAAATGTTGCAATACACCAAAGAACTTGAATTATGTTTAAATGTGTGCAAATTTTAAATATAGAATGTTTTTCTAGACATGGTATGTTTTTTGTATTAATGCTTTATGGGCACCAGATTGAGATTCATATTTTATACAGTAAAAATCTAAAAGAAAAAGATTGTGGGTGGTCATTTATTGCAAATTTATGGTATACAGATTAACAGAATACTCTATGTACAATTTATATCAGTAGCTTACTTAAAAAGGCACCAATATATTGGACATTAAAGGAATACTCCAGTCTGCTAAAGCACTCCCGCTTGCAACAATACTTTAATGGTTAAGTAAAGGTTCTCTCAGTCTTATTTTATACAAGTGATAACTTCAAGAGAAATCTGCATTTTATAAAAGTCCTTAGTTACACTCTCCCGGCTGTCAGACACCTGAGAGGGTTACTTATCTCACTAGCTCTGAAGCAGAAAGCAATGCTTCTCAACTGCTTTTCTGTAAGAAGCATCTGATTGGTGGAGCATGGTGATTGCTGCACAGGAGTTGTAGGTCCTAAATGCGTCTCTATAAGAAGCATAAGTTAGAACCAGAGAACCAGTGATTATCTTAATGAGGGCTGAACGGGCTGCATTGAGCAGACTGTCCTTCTCAAGAAAATCAGATTAATTTATGTTATCAATGAAACATGGCTAAATTCCCTAAATCTAAAAAAAAACAAAAAAAACACTGCAACATTACAAATATCTTCATGTTTAATGTTGGAGTGTTCCTTTAATCTATTAAAGGTTCTTATGAAATGAGAGCCTAGTGCGTCTCTTTTGTGCACGGAATTACAACATATAGGAGTTTGTTGACTCAACTCTTAAAGGGACACTCCAGGCACCCAGACCACTTCTGCCCATTGGAGTGGTCTGGGTGCCAACTCCCACTACTCTTAACCCTGCAACTGTAGTTATTGCAGTTTTTTTTATAAACTGCAATAATTACCTTGCAGGGTTAACTCCACCTCTAGTAGCTGTCTACTAGACAGTCACTAGAGGGCACTTCCTGGTTTCTAGCACAGGAAACCTGTGCTAGAGCACCGCTGGACATCCTCACGCTCTGTGAGGACCTCCAGCGTCGCTCATTTCCCCATAGGAAAGCATTGAAATGCCCTATGGGGAGCGCATGCGCTATGGAAATGCCCTATGGGGAGCGCATGCGCATTAGGTCTCCCCGGCCGGTGGGCAGGATCAGTCTCGCCCACCGGCCGACGCAATCAGAGGGAGGAGCGGTGCGGAGGAAGAAGCAGCGACGTGGGACATCGTCGCTGTCTCTGGTAAGTTACTGAAGGGATTTTCACCCCTTCAGCAACCGGGGAGTGGGACGGATTGTTTTCCTGTCACTGGAGTTTCCCTTTAACTGCAGTAAATAGAAATCTGAATTGTAGTATTGAAGCAAATATGGAACATCCTCTAACTTAGCTATAGTCACAAACAAGCTATTTAAGCCTTCATTTTGGAGATTTAAATTTTCTACAATTATAAGCTTAGTGAATACACCCCACAGAGTCCACAAATATTATGGGAAAATATACTTATTTTTTGGGGGGTTTTAAAACATTCTAATGACTTGGTAGTTTTAACAAAGTTCAAAATGTGCCCAAAAGTTGCGTGGGATTTTTAGACATTACGAAAAGTTATAGGGAATACTTGAAAAATAAAAGTTTAAATATAGTGCAGAAAAGATAAAATAGATTTCAGCCTATATGACCTAATTTATGGAAGTCATCAGTCAATGCCAAATGATATCATACACAACAGCTGCTAATATTGAGCACGTGCAAGATCCTGTTGACATCAGGTAGAATCATCTGTACAGAACCCTTCTGTATTGTTATGCATGGATGAAAATATAATGGTGAAGGGGATTGTAATGCAAATACAAGCAAACAAAGTGTGTAAAAAAACATAAAGGAGGAGACAAAAATGACAGGTTGGTCAGGCAGAAAATTGAGCAGTGCGATTGCAGGGGCAATAAAAGGACCTCTATAGGCACCCAGACCACTTCAGCTTATTGAAGTGGTCTGGGTGCCAAATCCATCTAGGATTAACCCTGCCTGCTGTAAACATAGCAGTTTCAGAGTTTACTTTAGGGTTAATCCAGCCTCTAGTGGCTGTCTCATTGACAGCCGCTAGAGGCGCTTCTTACTGTGATTTTCACAGTGAGAAGACGCCAGCGTCCATAGGCAAGAGCCGCGTGCGCATTCAGCCGATGACATCAGAAGAGAGAGATGAGTCCCCAGCACCAAGGTAGCCCGTCGCTGGAGAAAGGTGAATGTTTAACCCCCTTCATCTCCCTTCAGTCCGGCGGGAGTGGGACCCTGAGGGTGGGGGCACCCTCAGGGCACTATAGTGGTCCTTTAATACACCAAAACCTATTAAAGGAACACAATCATGTTTTCTTGACACTATTGTGGCACAACTTTTATTTTATTTATGAAAAATATCATGAAGAGATTTTTCTCTATAGTCCCAATTCTACAACTCCCACTACCCTTAACCCTGCAAGTGTAATTATTGCAGTTTTCATAAACTGCAATAAGTACCTTGCAGGGTTAAGTCCTCCTCTAGTGGCTGTCTATCAGACAGCCACTAGGAGGACTTCCGTGTTCTTAGAACCTCCAGCGTCGCCAAAATCCCCATAGGAAAGCATTGAATAATGCTTTCATTGGGGAGGTCTAATGCGCGTGCACGGCCATTGCCACACATGCGCATTAGGTTTCCCCCGCCGGCTGATGTTGGCAGGGGAGGAGAGTAGGTGGAGCCTAAACTAAGCCGAGGGACATCAGCGCTGGACTCCGGTAAGTCACTGAAGGGGTTTTAACCCCTTCTGCAACATGGGATGGGGGCTGGGAGGGAGAGGGGCACCTTGGGGAGAGTCCCTTTAAGCTTGCTAAAATGCTTTATATGTGAAGAGAGTGTCCTCTTTTTTTAAATTTACAAAAAAGTAAACTGTAGATTTCAATAGAAATTTGCACTTTTATAAATTAACCTTGATACACTCCCTGGATTTCATGCAGATAACCAGCCCTGTTACTTGCTGGTTGTTTAGCTCAGTGGAGTTAAACTCAAGAGGCAGCAATTTCCCAGAGCACCTGCCTTGCAAAGAGTTCTCATTGAGCTGCATTGGGAAGTCTGTGATTGGACAGCCACAGAAAGACTGGGCTGGGTTAGAACAGGAGGAGTTGTAACGGCTGTAGACAAGAGCACCGCAGGTTTTGCAAGATATATATATATATATATATATATATATATATATATAAATATATAACCAGAAATTACTTTTTCTGGCACTCTTCCCCCAAAACCCAAAAAAATATATCTTAAATAGACCAAGGTGCTGTCCCAGCGCTAATATATAACCATCCAAAAAACTGGAGCACTCACTGGATTTGGTGAATAAATTCAAATAACTGTATTAAAGTTTGCATAAATTCGATCAACATTTTGACAGACAAACGGTCTTTATCAAGATCAAGACCGTTTGTCGTTGAAACGTTGATCGAATTTATGCAAACTTAAATACAGTTATTTTAATTTATTCACCAAATCCAGTGAGTGCTCTTGTTTTTTGGATTTTTATTTATATATATTGTCCAAATGAAGAAAAAAAAAATACATAACTAAATTTATGCATGTTTTCATTTGGGGATTAATTACCAAACTGTTATTTAAAAAAAAAAAAAAATGTATTTGGATAGTGGAGTGTGCCTTTAAAAATAGCAATAAGTCAAGCGTCCAATACAGATGGGGTCCATCTCACACACTAGTAGCCACCCAGGGCGAGACCACCCGCCGACTCACGTCAGCAGCTGATGCAGACTCTTTCCTCCGCAGTCTGGGACTAAACGGCCTCAAGAAGAAAACTCCTAACTCTGGACACTCCTGGGACCTGAACAGGTACAAATGGAAAATGGATCAGCGCTGTGTGATATAGTAAGGGGCTAGAAACAGGTAGATAGCTGCAACCTATAAGTATGAGGTTCCCTCTAAAATCCTCAAGAAAGAAATGGCAAAAAACAGAAATAATAGGTCGCGCTTCAACAAATAAATATAATATATTAGCATACACTAAGGAGCATAGAGAAAAATTATTTTATAATTAATAAAATGAATAATAAATAGTCCAAATAATTGGTGTACTTAAGATAAATTCCAATGGATAGATGAAGATCTCAGTCCTTAATGTTCGTCTCTTACTGTATTCGGCAAAGGAGTAATGTCTTCAATGAGAAACCGGATCTTCTAATACGAACGAAGTCAAGTACCATCAAGTCAAGACTTCGTTCGTATTAGAAGATCCGGTTTCTCATTGAAGACATTACTCCTTTGCCGAATACAGTAAGAGACGAACATTAAGGACTGAGATCTTCATCTATCCATTGGAATTTATCTTAAGTACACCAATTATTTGGACTATTTATTATTCATTTTATTAATTATAAAATAATTTTTCTCTATGCTCCTTAGTGTATGCTAATATATTATATTTATTTGTTGAAGCGCGACCTATTATTTCAGTTTTTTGCCACTCCTGGGACCTGCCCAACATAATCCCCTTTGTACCTCGCAGTGAAGCCGACACAGGTTGAGACACCATGAGAGGGCCTGGACTTACCTTCACTCTCTCACAGGGGAGTATGCCGATGGACTGGCAATCAATATTAATGCAGTTAATATTTATAATTTACAGTTTGTTTTTTTTCAGCATGTTTAGCCAACGTTATATTGTTTCTATAATTTGCAGCTGATCCAACATTAGTCCTTAAGGACAGACAGACCGACTACATCCCCACCCCTCCCCTCCCCCAGGCTCAAGAGTCACTGAGCACTACCCTCTTATACTCTCCCCAATCAGAAATGAAGAGCCAGCGACCGGCCGCCAGGAATGCGTCCCTCCCCAGCGCTGCCGCCTGTCTTAATTCTCAACAGAGAACCCCCCACATCTCAGGGCACAGCAAACACAAACGTTCCAACAGCAACCTCACACTAGATCTCCCAGGAGAAGGCACCTGCCCCCCCACGACTATGCCCAAAGAACCACTAGCACACAAAACATTTCCCTTTAGTATAACCCAGAGACACGTATGAGTTATGAGCCCCTCAACTCTAAAAGAGCACCGCTA